CCCAGAGCAGCTTCTGTAAACAGTTCGTTGTCTGTGTGATGGGGCCTGTGTACACATCTCGCTGGACAGCTTGACAGAAATACCATTGTAGCCTTGGTGTATCTTGTAGTTCAGACTTTATTAGTATGAGGCGTCCTGTTCAGGATCTGACAGGCTGAGCGTGGTTTAGGGTTTGCCCGGGGCCGCCCACTGCGTGCTGTGTGTTCCGGTTTTCCGGTTCCGCTGGGAAACAGGACGCGGGGAAGAAAAGCAGGCGCGTGCACGGGGTTGGGGACCGAGGCCGACACCAGTAGACTGGCCCAACCTGTACCTTCTCTAACAGCTCTACTGAGGTACGATTTATACACCATAAAGCTCACCCACCTAAAGCGTACACTTCAGGGACTTCTAGTGAATTTACAGAGCTGGGGAATCGTGGCCCAGGCAGTTTCAGGACGTTTCCGTCGCCCGACAGGACCCGCAGCCTGTCCACGGCCCGCTCTTGTGCCAGCCCGGCCACCACTGACTTCCCAGCCTCTGCCGATGTAGCCTCTCCGGGCATTTAACGGCAGCGGAGCCGGACAGTGTGTGTGGTCTTTCGCATCTGGCTTCCTCCACGCGGCATGTTTTGGAGGCTCCTCTGTGTGGTAGCAGGTTTCAGGAGGCGTTTTGTGTTGCAGAATAAAACTGCACGGTATGGTCATACCACAGCTCGTCCGCCCACTCGCCTGCGGGTGCACCTCGGCTTGTTTCCGCCCTCCTGGCCGAAGTGCTCCTGGGAGCACGCGCGCGCGCAGCGCCTGTGGAAACCCCTGCTCTGAGGGGTGCTGGGCCACATAGCCATTCCGTGTTTGCCTTCCTGAGAAACTGCTAAGGTGTCTTCCAGAGCTACTGTGCCATTTTACATTCCCACCAGCAAAGTACAAAGGTTCCGATTGCTCCACGTCCTTGCCAAGTTAATATTCTTTTAAAAATATTAGTATAGCCGTCCCGTGGGTGTGAAGCGCAGTCTCATCGCGGTTTTGATTGGCACTTCCTGAGGTGCTGGACAGCTTTCGCGTGCTGGTTGGGTGTTCTACCTTCCGAGAGATGTCTGTTCATAGCTTTCAGATTTTTAGACTGTTGAGTTTTAAGAGTTCTTCATATATTCTGGATGCTAAACTCTTATCAGATATATGATTTGCAAATACTTTCTCCCATTCTGTGGGTTGTCTTTTCACTTTCTTGACAGGGTCTGATGTACAAACGTTTTAAATTTTGCAGCCCAGTTTATTTTTTGTTTTGTTGCCTTTGCTTTTGGTGTCGTATCTAAAATGCATCGCCAAACCTTTCATCATGAGAGTGTGACCCTGTGTGTTCTTCTAAGAGTTTTGTAGATTTAGCTCTTCTGTTTAGCTCCTTGATCCATTTTGAGTGACTTTTTGTAGCTGGTATGAGATAGGGGCTCAGCGTCATCTTTACACGGGGACACCCCATTGTCCCGGCTCTGTTCGTTGAAGGGACTGCTCTCTGAAGTCTTCCGTGTACGTGGTTCTGTTTTAAGGGTTTATGTTCTGTTCCGTTGGTCTGTCCACCTGTGTTCGCATCGGTGCCACATTGTCGGCCTTGGGGCTTCAGTGCACTCAGTGCAGACTTCCTGACTCAAGCTTATTAATGATATGTAGATAATCTGTCTTTGTTTACGAAGCAGCATGCAAGGGCAGACCTCTCTCACGGTTTACGCGAGGGGACGGGACGAGAGATCGTGCGATAACGCCGAGGAATGTGGGTTCTGGGGGATGGGCCCCAGCGACCTGGATGTGTTTATGTTTATGGATTGAGGGAAGGAAGCTGGTAGGAAGGGAGCAGTTAGAGATAAGAGAGGGCGTGGCTTCAGGAACAAGGTTGTGGGAGATTGAGGGCGTAGGCCTCTCTGCACTCAACCCCAGCCTCTCCCCGCTTCAGTGCCGGCTGCCCGCCCCTGTGACAGGTGACAGACGGCCAAAGTGGGTGCGGAACACGGTCACACTTCGGTTTTGTCAGCTAATTATGGAGTGCTTGAAGATGGCTTAAAATGTAAGCATTGGCAGTTAAGTGGAAGGCCCGATGGGTGGGGCTCAGTGGACTGGGCGTCGTCCTGCAAACTTAAAGGTCGCTGGTTTGAGTCCCAGTCGGGCCGCATGCCTGGGTTGTGAGCCAGGTCCCCAGGTCGGGGCGTGCAAGAGGCAACCGATCGATGTTTTCCTCTAACATCGATGTTTCTCTCCCTCTTCTACCCTTCTCCTCTCTCTAAAAATAAATAAATAAAATCTTCTAAAAAATGAAGTGGGTGTATGAGAAAGCTAGCCGTCCTTTCTCGCTTAGGCCTTGCTATTTAGGTTAACTTTTGCATTAATGAGTACAGTCCTTTCCCTTTGGGAGTGAGTTTCGATTTAAAATAAACTAAGAAGGATCGAGGTTAAATTGTGACCTAAGAAACTTAGTTTTCATGTAAGACTTGCCTTGGTCCTATAATATTTGAGATTTTTCTTTAGTTTTTACTGATTACCGTATCTTCACAGAGTTGTTTTAAAGGGAGGAATGGTCTTTTATAAAGCGCCGGTTTGCGTGGTCAAGGGGAGAAGTGACAGGGTGAGGCACCAATTACAAGAAGTACGTGGCCCTGAAACGCAGCCTGGCCCCCAGGCCGCCTGCCCCATCGGAGTCTCTGGCATTAGCATCACCCTGTTAAAGGTGTTCTTAGACACCGTGCACGTGCGCGCTCGGAAGGGCTGGGTCTGAAGCGTTGTCTGCGACAGTCTCTGTGGTGGGGGGTTGCAGCCGCTTTTTCTGGCCCTTTGTGTCTCGTCGCCCTTCCCTGCGTGGGCATGCTTTTGCTTTTTGTGCAGAAGGTTGTCAAGAAGGAGCCAGTGGGGCCGAGCTGGGAGTCGGTGAGGCTCCTGTGTGTGGAACCCGAAAAGACCGTCCTGGCCTGCCACGCGGAGGTCACAAGGTGGAGGGTTTTGACGGCTGCAGGTATGTGCGTTACCGGTTCTTGCCGTTCTGGGGAGTGTGTGTGGAAATACCTACTTGCCATGCAAGTGGAGAAGTGGTGAAATATTCTTACTCACTTTTGCTTACTTCTAGTAATGGAGAAAACTACTTGCCTTTCAGTAAACCTGCCAACAAGTGTTTAGTTTATGTTAAAAAGAGAGAAACATCCCTGTGTGGTTGCCTCTCGTGCGCCCCCTACTGGGGACCTGGCCCACAAACCCAGGCCTGTGCGCTGACTCCGGCGTCCCTTTGGTTCGCAGGCCAGCGCTCAGTCCACTCAGTCACACCAGGCAGGGCCAGCTGAGGTTTTCTCGATCTTACCGGAAGGTGTCAGTGAAGGTTTGAAGCAGTAACCAGCTCATGTTGCTTCATCCGGTGCTTGGTTCTTAAGTTGTGTTTTTGACAAAAACGTCAAGGAGTAGCAGTTCTGCTGTGCCTCAGGCAGTGATAAGCATGTTCACAGACATGGAGCAGTGACCTGTGTACGCCACGATTCATTTCAGTGCTGTTCTACATGTGCATCTTTAAATTGATGAAGTGTATTATGTCTGTTCAAGCTTGTTCATTGTATTAGTCAAAACTGTATCTTTTTTTCACATGTACCTCTGCTGATTTTTGCTTTAACGTATTTTTAGGGCCATTTTGTTAGATACATAAACTCAGACTTATTAATTGTGTGATTAATTGAATATTAGGTCATTAATCAGTGACTCTCTCCGTCTGTCTTGCCTGTATTAATGCAGCAGGACCGACTTCTTGTTAGTAAGGTTTGTCTGGTAGTTCACCCTCTTCCCTTTTACCTTCGATTGCTAGGTATTCCTATGCTTTAAAGATGCTTGTTGCAATTTTTTTTGTGTGTTTCTTTATGTCCAGGTTTAAACCTTGGTCCCTTTTCCATCTGTGTTCATTGTAAATGTATCAGTTACTTAGGACTGTGTAACAAAGTATCTCAGTGATCTTCTTAAAATAACACCAGGTTGCTATCTCAGCTGTGGCCCCTGCAAGCAGGCCAGGGCCTACCCGGGTCCCGGTCCCTCACACGGACGCAGGTGGCCAGTGGGTCCGGGGCCGCACGCCTCCCAGGACCGCGCCCACCTGTCCGGGGCCTTCGCCGCGGGGCCGCACCGGCTGGGAGGTCCGGGGCCCCTCTGCATGTGGTTTCTTTGCACAACAGATTTTATTCTCAGGGCTGCTGGCCAGGGCTTCTCCAGAGCACAGTGGTCCAGGGATCCAGGAGAGCGGAGGTTCTGGGCCCTGCACAGTGTCACCTGGGCCCTGTCCTCTTGGTCAAAGGAAGTCCCAAAGCCAGTCTGGATTCAACGGTGGAAAAGGACTCCGCCATCGTTAACAGTGTATGACTCGGACCAGAGAAAAGGGAATATAGACCTAGTAGGAATGAAAAATACTGCAGAGGTTAATCATTAGTAAGAGGATATCATGAACAACTGTGCCAATAAAAAAAAAAAATTCAGCAAATACCCACATACCAGCCACCCTTCACCCACTGCCCCGAAACGCCCCGATACCCCCCTGGGATGTGCTTCCACCTCCCCCAGCCTTCTCCGCAGGGGCCGCCGTCAGGACCTTAGCGTCCGTCTTTCCTGCGTATTCACTTGTGCCCCGCTGTGAGGTGTGCGCACGTCCGACGTGGCGCAGAGCGCCTCGTCCGCCGGGCCCTCGGCCGCAGGTGTCGCGTGCGGCCGGCGTCCTCAGCCTGCTCTCGCCTGCTCCGTGTGATTTGTGCGGCTCCTCTGTATCGAGAGACTGAGTTCAGCCCTTTTTTCCTAACTGTGTGGGCTTCTGTTTCATAAATACGATAATCTATTCATTTCTTACGAGTAGGATTTAGGCTGGTTTCCTATCGCAAGCAGCGCCGCGCGCCTGAGGGCTCTGTGCCTATGCGCCACGTCGCCGGCGCGGTCCTGGGCCAGCCTCACCGTCCCCAAGCAGTGCCGACTTGTCCTCCGGGCTGCTGCCTCAGTTGTTAATTTGGTTCCTTTTTCTTTCAGTGCCTGAAGACCTCTCCTTAGAAGAGAGGGAAGAACTTTTAGACATCCGTCGAAGAAAAAAGGAACTTATTGATGACATCGAGGTAAAAAAAATCTTTGACTATTGGCTTTTGGGTCAAAGAGTAAATCAAGCAGCTTCGTGACAGTGTAAAAACATGGGTGTCTAGTGTGTGTGTCTCCCAGCCGCCCGAAGAGACGGCGCAGGAGCCTCGGGCGGGTGAGGCGGGGCCGCGCTCAGACCTGCAGTCAGCTGCAGGTGGCACGCGCCTCCCGAGCCCCAGCAGCCGTTTGTAGACAGCAGCAGCACCCTGCAGGCGCATCGCTCTCTACAGCTGTGTGGCGAGGCCTGGTTTTGTGTAGCAGCAGCCCCAGCACCTAGAGCGCTGCTGTCCCGTTTCGGTGACGCAGGCGTCTTTGCCGTCGGTGGCTGCGCCCCAGTGGGGTCCCAGCTGGGCTCCAGGTGCCCGCCAGCCGGGGCGAGCAGCACAGGTAGCTGAGCCTTGGGCTCCCCACGCTGTGTGTGCAGAGGGCAGGCGGGGCCCCCAGGAGGCGCCAGGGAGGAGCGCCTTCCTGCACTTGTTGCCGAAATCGTTCAGAAGACCCGTGGCTCGCTGCTGCCCTTCGGGCCTCCCTGGGAACTTGTCAGACGTGTGGCTCTTCTTGGAGAAGCTTCTGTCGCTGCTGTGCCAAAGTAAACGTGGCCTCACGGGCCCCTGGCTGCGCGACCGAGCCTTGTCCAGACAATAGCTCCTTTCTAGGAGCCGCATTTTAAGTCTGAAGTTTCTTGGCACACAAAATAAAAGGGCTTCTGATAAAAATTTCTTTGTGTTTGAATGATAATTCGTGGAACTTTTTCTTCTAAGGTTACCCTTCGTGCTTGGAAAAATCAGATGCCCAGGCGAGGTGCTTTGGTTGGAGGAATAAGAATATACAGGGTCTGGCACACATGACGCTCTTTTATAACAAACTCTTTTATTACAAAGTCATAAGCATGTCATTCTGTAACATAACAGTATCCCACCCAAGCACATCATAGGACATGTTAGGTGAACTGTTCGAATTAAAACTGTAAGTTACCACACCGTATTACGACCCTCCCAGCCACACGCCAGCAGGCGCAGCCTTGGCGGGACTCTGTGTTTTCAGGTCGGCGGTCTGTTTGGACACCCGCCATGATGGCGCCCGCGGAGCCTCCGGGAGCCCTGTGCTCCTCGTGTTCGAGCTGAGAACGCCGAGGCCTAGCGGGGTCAGGAGGGTTGACAAAGTACTTGGCCAGCGCGTGGCGGAGCCACGTGGAGGGACAGGGAAGTCTGTTCCCTTGTGGTGTTTCTCGTGCATCTGAGCGCCCCCCGGCTTTAGCACCGAGCCCCATGACGTCCTCCCTGGGGTCCCTTCTTGGTTTGACACACACACACACTCAAGGACCCGCGTCGTGGACGCCCCGATCTCCTAACGACGGGGGGACGAGACCTAACGTTTCTTCCTCCTGCGCCGGGCAGCGCTGACGAGGCGGCTGCGTCCGCGTCCGCGTGCACAGGCGTGGGTTTGTCCAGACCCGGGGCGTCCAGGCAAGGCCTCGGGGGCTGGCGTTTCTCTGAGCCTGGGAGGAGGAAGGGGAAGGCCCTGCCCCGCCTCAGCATCCCTTCTCTTTTGATAGAGACTGAAATATGAGATTGCTGAAGTGATGACCGAGATCGACAATCTGACTTCTGTGGAGGAGAGGTAAACCCACCGCGGAGGGCGGGTGGGGGGCAGGGACGTGGGGCCCCCCCCGGCTTCCTCTAGTCCATCTCGGTTCAGGGAGCAGTGCAGCTGCTCACATCTGGGAACTGCCTCGCACAGGTGACTTCCTGCACAGCAAGGTGCTGTGCGTGTCTTAAGTTGCCGCCCTCTCGGTCGGCTTTTTCCAAAGAAGCTGCCAGTTGCAGGCAGGGCCCCCTGGGCCTCAGCAGGGCTGCGAGGGCGGGCGCCTGGGGGCGTGTGCTGCGACTGGTGACGGTGTCCTCGTTATTTCCATGCCCAGCAAAACCTCCCAGAGGAACAAGCACATAGCCATGGGGAGGAAGAAGTTCAACATGGACCCCAAAAAGGTAAGCGGACGCGTTCGGCGCCTGGCCTGCGAGGCGTTGATTGGCCGGCCGACTCTAACAGCCTCTCCCTTTTGGACTAAGGTGGTCATGTGGCGCCTTTGAAACGCAGAGAGCCGGTGTTTGGTTTTTATCAGGAAACAGGCTGCTCGTGAACGGGGCGAAGCAGAAGCATCCGTTGGGCTGGTCCCCGGACCAAAAGGCCCTTTCTTCCAGGTGCGGTTCTGGGCCAGGACAGGCCACCCGGAGCCAGCCCTGCAGCGAAGCCAGGCTGAGTGAGCCCCCTGCTTCCCGCCTGAGCCAGTCCGCAGGCCACGGCGTCGCATGGCGCGTGGGGGCAGGGTGTGCGGACTCCGTGGTGTAGGCGGGCGAGCGGGGGGGGCGCCGCCGCCCCCGAGGCCCCTCCGTGCCTGCCAGGCCCGCCGTCGGCTTGCTTTACGGACGGACGGACGCCGCGTGTCGGGTCTGCAGCCTCGGGGCTGATGCTTACGGGGAACTGTACTAAGGAAGGAAGTGCTTGGATTGGTGCGCGTCCGTCCTTGCAGGCACCGCCTCACCGATGGGGGTGACCGAGGCGCAGGAGCTCCCACTGTCCTGGGCCCGGAGCCCGTTCTGCCGCTCATGCCCGAGCCACTGCCCCCAGGCTCCTGCGCCCTCGGGGGGCTGGGGGGTGCGTGTAGGTGGCCCACGGCGGGAGGGGCCAGGGCAGCGGAGGCAGGGAGCCCCGTTCGCAGTCCTCGCCGCAGAGATTTTCTCAGAACGTCGGTCATCAGTGTCATTCGACAACTTACTCGTCACTATGGTGCCGCTGAAAGCGGATGGTGTGCTTCGTCTGCAGGTTTGCTTTTGCCGGGAAAAACGGTTGAAGTTCTCGCTTTCGTAGGCCTGGCGGTGGCAGCGTGCGGGTTAGTCAGCGGCAGCCGCCCTGCGTGCGCCGCAGGCGGAAATGACTGTGCTCCCAGCCCTGCGGGGGGAAGCGGCAGCGAGGGTGCCCGCGGGGCCGGGCCTGGCACCCCCCGTCCTGGCACCAGGCGCGCCCTGGCGTCTCTGTGTGCAGGGGCAGCAGTCCCGTCAGGCCAGGGCCCCGCCCTCGTGACCTCACTGAGCCCAAATCACCTCCTAGCTCCGTCCCCACGGGGGTCAGGGCAGCCACCCTGAGTTTTCAGGGGACACAGGCCTTCAGTCCAGAGCAGCAGATGATGTCCCGTCCTTCAGACACAATTCAGTTATATCCCCCCCACCCCCCACCCCATCCCATGCACCCAGCAAACCATGTGACACTGTGCAACCCAAGGCGGTTGTCCCAGCAAAGGCGTTTCAGGCCAGCAGGAAATTGCTTAGGTCACAGCGATAACATTTTGAGTGAGGAGCTTTGGCTGTGCAGGTGCTCGGACGCCCAGAAGCAGCGCTGGCTTCATCCGGGACGAGGGGGAGGCTGCCGAGAGCAGGGGGCCCTTCCTTGTGTGCCTGGTTTCCCGGACGTGCCTTGGAAGATGCAGGACCTGCAACAAGCAGGGGCCAGCGCGCCCAGAAGCAGCGGGTGGGGGTGGGGGTGGAGGAGGCCACCTGTGCGAGTTTAGCGAGCGGTAGTGTGTCCCTCGGGCGGCAGAAAGTGAGGGGCACGTGGCCCATGAAAACAGGTTGCGCCCTCTGGGCTACATCGCTGAGGGGGGAGGGGAGGAACACCTCCCCGCTGGGAGCAGCTCACCACCTGGCTGCGTCACCTGCCCCGCGGCCCGAGTCCTGGAGGCAGACCAGTCAGCAAGGCTCCGGGGGAACCGTAAACAGGTGGGCAACTGCCAACAGGAACCGGCAGGTGGGCGAGGCACGAAGCTCACCCACCAGGACTGACAAGGGAGGAGCCAGGCCGAGCAGAAGCAGCAGAAGGAAACATTAAAAACAGGATATTCTCTTACTTTAGAAATATCATCAAAGCCATACGATAGGACATTCCCTATCCATGGTCCGAAACAGGGAAGAGTGACAGAGATTCTAGGAAACAGGCGTGGCCCCTCTCCCTTCAAGCTCCTCGCTTGGCCTGTGGCCTTTGGCTGCGACCTCTGTTCCAGCCCCCGCCTGGTGTCCCCCAGACGCCTCGTGTTCTCAGACCAGGGCCCCAGGCTCCCGCAGAGGGACCTGGAGCTTCGTGCGGGGCCGCCTCCGCCTTCTGAGCGTAACCTTCGAGCACAGAAGACGTTGCTTTACTCCAGCCGGCTTGCTTTTCTCAAACCCGTGGGGGTTGTTGCGTATCACTCTCCCAAAGCCCCCTGGTGTCTCGGGAGCTTAGAATTTTGGAGCCGGCCTTAGCATCCAGAGAAGTCCATGAAAGCCTCGTGCCCCAGCCCGTTAGGCTCTGGGGCGTGTAGGCCGGTGGTGTGCCCGGGGCCTTGTGACTGCATAGTTACTTGGTGACTTCACACGGCTGGAGGGATGCACGACCCTCTTGAAGCCCCGTGTGGCCACTGCCCAGGACATGTGTGCCTTCTGTGGCTCCCCCGGGGGAGTGAATTCTCCACCACAGGGCAGTGTGGCCTTTTACACTTTGCGTAAATGAATGGAAATACACTGAGTCCTGTGACTCCACATCATGGCCTCAGGTCCGCCCGTGCCTGAGCGCGTGTTCCGTCTGGCTGTGTGGCTTCCGGTGGGTGGCTGCACCAGTGTTCCTGTCTGTTCTCGCATTCACTGATGGGTGGGTTGTCACTGGTTTTTAGAAATCCTAAATAGGGATGCTGTAGACATCCATGTTTTTAAAAACCAAAAACAATGGAAAGACTCTCAGGTGGGTCGGGGTGTGAGGGAGTATGGGGGGCACTGCGTTTCAGCTGGAAGATGCTCTCTGAGTTTGCAAAGTGCCCCCAGGCAAGTGGAGGACAGCGCCCCTGTCCCCTCGCAAGCCCTGAAGCCAGCTCGGTAGCTGTGTCCAAGGCGAGCGCGGGCTGTGGTTAGGACTTCCCGGGAGGCGGAGCCCGGCCAGCTGCGCCAGGACGGCCCGTGGGCTCCGCTCTGTCCCGTGGGCCCCTCCCGTGCGCCTGGACTCGGGCAGCGTGTGGCTCGGCAGCTCGGCAGCCTGTTGACATGCTCAGCCTCAGGTAACAGTAAATCCCGTGGAGAGGGCTCACAGGAGGGCTCTTGTGCTCTCACACAGCAGAGGTGGCTGCACGGGGTCCCGTGGCTTCCAGGCGGCAGGACCCAGGTCCTGTGTGCATCCCGGCCTGTCCATCCTATGATAGCCGTTAGGTCATCACGCCTGTGTTCTCGGCAGGAAGGGGCGGTGTCTGCTAACGGGTGCCCTGTATCAGGAAGCCAGCAGCGTCCTCAGGTCTCCCTGCAGGCTGCTTGTCTGCCTGTCTCACTGGACCGTGTCTTGGGGACGCCTCCACAGGAGGCCGGGAGGTGACCTGGGAGGGAAGGGCGGCCAGGGCAGCTGGTGGGGAGCGGGAGCCGGACTGGCCCTCCACAGGAGCCATGTCTTCCCAGACACAAAGGGCGCCGCGCTCCTCAGCTTGGGAACGGGGTGTTACTGTGACTTCGTAGTCTCTACTAACCGCTTACTTGTCCCGTCCCCTGTTAAATGGCCAGGGAGGATGCGCGTCCTTTGCTCTGCGGGGTCAGCGTGCCATGGGGCCTTGGCGGTATCAGTGCCGCGTCCAAACAGCGTGCTCGTTTCCGTCTGTGGAATGCGAGGACCGGCCGCTGTCCTAAGTGGCACTCCCTTGCCTCTGCCCCACCTCAGGGCATTCAGTTCCTCATCGAGAACGACCTGCTGCAGAGCTCCCCAGAGGACGTGGCCCGGTTCCTGTACAAGGGGGAAGGCCTCAACAAGACCGTCATCGGGGACTACCTGGGGGAGAGGTAGGCTGGGGACAGCGTGCCACCAACCGGGCCACCTCCCTTCGGGGTCTGTCACCTGGGAGGTGATTCCCCCTGAACGTCAACATCTCTGTGCCCTGGGGTCTGGAGGACATGTTTGTGGGCCCTAGAGAATGAGGGAGTGGGGGAAGGGGAGAGAAACAAATATCAGTGTGAGAGAGAATCTTCGATCGGTTGCCTCCCACATGCTCCCGGACCTGGAATGAGGTCCGCAGCCTTTTGGAGGGTCCGCTCCCAGAGATTGTGAAGGTGGAGATGGGGCGGGGGCGGGGGAGTGGCCTTCTGGTCGTGCTCCTGTCGGATCAGATGGTGGTCTCTGCGTCCTCACTCCTACCAGTTGTGACGTCCAGTCAGCCCCCTTTGGAGCCCCCTGGGCGCTGAGGCAAAAACCAATGTGCAAGGAGAACCTGAACCTTCAGTCACACGCATGGAAGCCACGAGAATGGGCTTTGGGAAACGCGTGTCTTAACACATCGCGTACCGCCCACGAGTTTTCTCGTTTTTCATGCGCCATCTGTTATGGACTTTAGATGTCAACATACTGTCTTGTCCACATCGAATGAAGCGATCTCATTGGTGGAAACTGTGCAGGTCAATCTACAAAAAACTATGTAATTGCACTAACCCATAAAGCATTGCAGTTACATTGTATTTTGGTCATTCGACCCTGGCGTATATCTTAGAGATTTCTATGCGGTACGCAATGTATTAAAATGCTTGCAGACGTCTGCGGCGGCTGGAAGGCGCTTACTTTCTTTCCAGGGATGAATTCAACATTAAAGTTCTTCAGGCTTTTGTCGAACTCCATGAGTTTGCTGACCTCAACCTGGTCCAGGCCTTAAGGTGAGTACCTTGTCGGATGCGGTCATAGAGACGGCGGCCGCAGGGGCTGGCGCCCGAGCAGAAGTGGCCGGAAATCCACGCCAGGGAACTCCGAGGGGGCGCGCGGGTCCCTGCAGGCGCCGGCGCCCCTCCCCGGCCTGGCCTGTCCGGGCTGTGTGAGCTGGAGCCGGTGTGTGAGCCGGGAGGGCGGCTCGTGCCCGCCCGCCCGTGGGGCCCCTGGTTTTGCGTGCTGTTCTCAGGGCCTTTGCCGTCTTCATTTTAAAGGAGATCTAGCAGCTCTGCCGGTTCCCTCCCACGGGCGGGGCCGTTGCCGTGTCGCGCCCTGTGCTCGGCAGCGCCCAGGGCTGAGCAAGCGCTGCCAGTCCCGGACGCTGCCGCCCAATTCCGAAGTTTAGATCCAGTTTCTGAAAACTCGGCCTCACAGAGGAGGGCGGGCCGGCCCGTCCAGGGACACGTCACGGGCGTGGCTGGTCTCTGGCCAGAGCCACAGGCCTTGACTCACTCCTGCAGGTGTCAGTGGGTGGCTGTCACCTGTCACCTCCCAGGACACAGCGGAAGGAGGGCTGTGGGGTCAGAGGGTCTCTAGGCAGCGTCGCCTTGCTTGCGCTGACGCACGCCTGCCCGTGCGCCTGGCGTCTTGCCGGGGCCGTGGGCAGGGCCGGGACCCTGGGAGCGGCCGCCATCCCCTGGTTTCGTTTCTCCCCAGGCAGTTCCTGTGGAGCTTCCGGCTTCCGGGGGAGGCCCAGAAAATCGACCGCATGATGGAGGCGTTCGCCTCCCGCTACTGCCTGTGCAACCCTGGGGTCTTCCAGTCCACAGGTGGGTGACAGGGTGCGACCCGGCATGTGTCACAGCCGGAACGGCCCTGGCCGTGGCCCCCGAGCCCGCGGTCCTGCGCGCAGGCCGCCTCTGACGTAGCGACCAGACCAGCCGCCGGCCCCCCGCGGCTGAGCCCCCGCCCCCTGACCCCTTTCAGACACGTGCTACGTGCTGTCCTTTGCCATCATCATGCTCAACACCAGCCTGCACAACCACAACGTGAGGGACAAGCCCACGGCCGAGCGCTTCGTCACCATGAACCGAGGCATCAACGAGGGCAGGGACCTGCCCGAGGAGCTGCTGAGGGTGAGCTGCGGCCCCGCCCCTCCCGGCCCCGCCCCCTCGGTCGCTGCCCAGGCCGCTGGCCCTGTCCCGGCGGGCGGCCGCCCGGGGAGGACAGAGCGCTCGCCCGCTGAAGCGCAGTGTCCTGTCCTCGCAGAACTTGTACGAGAGCATCAAGAATGAGCCATTCAAGATCCCGGAGGACGACGGCAACGACCTGACCCACACGTTCTTCAACCCGGACCGCGAGGGCTGGCTCCTGAAGCTGGGTGAGTGGCGCCTGGCGGCAGGACACGCTCCGGACCTCGCGGTCCCCACAGCCGCTCCTGCAAGTGCCGTCCGAGTCCCGCTCGCGAGCCCCAAGCGAAGGCAGAGCGTTAAAGAGAAGGTCATGAGGGAAGGGCCACGCTCGGCGGCTGGCCGCACGCCACAGGCTTGCCGGCCACTGCTGGGAATCGCGCCCTCCGAAGGGGCCGTCTGTCCGTGTCCGCGGCAGAGGAGGACAGTCGGGCTGCACGAACGTCCCCGAAAACGGCTTGCGTAGGGTCCGTGTGGGCCCCCGCTTTCCGCACGAGGAGCAGGTGCCTCTCCCTGCGCGCTGCCTGCCTCCGCGTGGTGCAGTGTGGCTGATTTTCAACGAGGGGTTTAAATGTGCCTTCTTGTTGTTTTCCTTCTGCCTGTGGCTCCCACCTTTCTGTTCTGTGACAGGCTGTCCCTGCTTGTCCTGCGGTAGGAGGTACGTACCCAGTGGCTGCCTCCCTTCCCCAGCTGCTCGTCCCTCCTGGTTTTGCGCCCGGTCGGTGTGTGTGAAGCTCTGGTTTGCGGCTGCCATTTATCTGACCCATGTGGCTTTGGACTTGCCGGTGAATGTGACAGCCATGCCCCGGGCTGGGCAGGAGTGGCCTGAGTGCCAGCTGTCCTCGCCCGGCGCATGGGGATGCCGCGTGGGGCTGAGCCTGTCCCCCACGCTGCAGGCCTGAGCCCCGGGGAGAGGGCTCGTGGCGCCCTGTCCCTGCCGTCCCTGCCGTCCCTGCCGTCCAACCTTCACACTAACCCCGCAGCCGCACGTGCTTGCACCCCCGTGGAAAGAGTCCAGAATGTTTGAAAGGCTTCCTGACCACGGACGAAGAAGCAGAGTAGCTTTTATGTTTGCTGGGCAATGCGAGGGCCTGGGAGGGTGTTTGACGGGTGGAATCGGGGGCGGTTTCTGCCTCCCAGTGACATTAGAGCCTGTGAGATGTGACAGCGCTGTCTCCTCCAGGCACGCGAACAGATGGTGGGACACCGAGGCTTACGGGGGTTCTGGTGGTTCCGCTCTTACTCGAGGCGGGACGCGGGCGCAGCACGGCGGGCGTGGGAGTGCGCCACAGGTCCATGCCTCTGGCTTGGGGCCGCCTCCGACTTTCCTCAGGCTGTGTCGAGGTTGGGGAGGTTCCGGATCTTCGCCTAAAACCTGGAAGCGTAGCCTTTGCACTTGAAGTCCTGAATGGCCTTCAGGGTGCACTGGACCCTCAGATCCCATCCGGCCTGGGGCCCCGGGGGGCTGGGAGGAGGGATGCGCCCAAAGCACCAGCGCCTGCCTGTGGGTGCTCCCGCTCCCGCATTGTTGGCAAGCGCGCCCCGAGGGACCGCGGCAGCGCAGACCTGCCAGGCGGCCGGTGCGGTCCAGTACCGCCGACAGGGCTCGTCCTGCAGCTGAGCAGGCGAGCGGCCGGGACGTCCACACGCAGAGCAGTCTCCTAGCCGCCAGGAGCTGAGTGGGCCCCAGGGGCCTGATGTGGTGGCTGGATGGGGCCTCAGCACCGGGGACCCCCGGGGGGCTGGAGCCTGCCCCCTCCATGCTCCCACGGCCACGTGCCTGTGTCTGTGTAGAGGGAAGCCACGGCCCTGGTGTTCTCGTCAGAAGCCACAACGCTCGTGACGGTGGCGCTATTCAGTCCTCAAGCCCACTGGCCAGGTGAGAGCCAGGAGCTCCTGTCCCCGAGAGCCTTGGCAGCCTGTGTCTGCTCTCTGCTGAGAGCTGTCCCGCCCAGGACGCTCCTGCCCCCCACAGGTCTCCTCCTGGCAGTGGTGACGCCGGCCTGGCCACTAGAGATGGGCGGGTGTCGCTCTCTGAAGGCTCAGGAGGTGGGCAGTCACCGGCAAGGCAGCGGTGGAGATGCGCCAGGCTGGCCCCCGCCCGGCCCCCGCGGCCTGGGCACAGTGGCCCGGCCCCCGGCGGCGAGACAGGGCAGCGTGGGCTCCTCACTCAGCTCGAGCGGCTCAAGCAGGAGGCTCGCTCAGTGGCCTCTCATTCTAGATGCATCCTCGGGGCCGCGGCCCAGGACTCTGCCAGAGTGTGGCGGCGTCAGCGTGTCACTTCCATTGTCAAAAGAACACCTCGTAGTCACGAGTTTTGAGAGAGAATCTGGTGTAAAAACATGGGAATGTGGGTCAGAGTAGACCTGTCACGCAGAGAAAGGGACGCGTCGGGAGGGCCTGCTCTGTGCTGGCCTGGGGCCGGGGTGGGGGGGCCCCTCTCTGCAGCTCCGAGGGGGGCGTGTGGGTCCGTCGTCTGTGGCACAGCAGGCCCTCCTTGCGGCGGGTCGGCGGGCGTGAGGCTGGCACCGCTCCTGCACCTGCAGGGGGGCCGACCCGGAGGACACGCCTCGGAGGAGCTGTCGTCTGTAGAGCCAGCCGCCAGCACCCTCGGCCTTGAGAACTAGGCCGGGGCGGGGCTCCTCCCGCACCCGCTTGGAGCCGCACACACTGAGCTCAGGAGCAGCCCGCAGGCGCCAGGAGGAGCGAGAGGCCTTCCTGGCCAACCTGCCCCCTACCCCGAGTGTCACCGTTGTCACTTCGGGAGCAGCGGGCAGGAAGAGCCGCCTCCTGCCTGTGCCCACGGGTCCCTTCAGTCAGTGACCATGCGCGTGTTCTTTTTTTCTGTGACCTTCGCCAGCAGAAGGGGCGACACTTTGCTGAGTGTTCAGGGTGGAACGGCCACCTCTCCCGCGGTGAGGGGCACAGACGCAGGCGAGCGGCCCAGCCGGTCGGGGGCAGTTCAGCCTCGCACTCCCTGGGCCGGGGGGCCGCTGGCATGGATGGGTCCCGGGGCCGCCCAGAGCCCTTGGTAATGCGATCAGGGCCCGGACCTAACTGGAGGAAGTCCGGGCAGACGGGCAGCACCCGTGTCCCCCGGTTGCCGTTCAGTGTGGGGAGATGAAGCCTGTTCATCACGACCGGCTTGGCAGGAGGCGCGTCCGAGTTGCTGGGCGCCCCGCTGGCTCGAGGCCGAGGCGCAGGGCCTGGGGCGGGGCTGCCCGTGGGGCCCGAGTGGAGTGCCGGGCCGGGCGCCCACCTGTCGTCCAGGACTTGGTTAAGTGTCAGACGGTCCGGCATCTTTACAAAGAAGGAAACTTAAAACCGAGCGTGGCGCCTGGTGGCTTTTCTGCAAACGCAGCAGTTTGCGGGCTCTGGCCCCGCCCTCTGGGGCCCAGACTCCCGGCCTGCGCAGACCCACTCACGAGCTCTCTCTGCTCCTCTGCTTCCAGGCGGGCGCGTGAAGACCTGGAAGCGGCGGTGGTTCATCCTGACCGACAACTGTCTCTATTACTTTGAGTACACGACGGTAAGCGAGGGGGGCCGCCGGGCGCCCTCCGCGTCCGAGGGACCGCGGATCGTGCCCACGTGAGCTGGCCGTGCGCTCTCCCTTGCAGGACAAGGAGCCCCGGGGCATCATCCCGCTGGAGAACCTCAGCATCAGGGAGGTGGAGGACCCGCGGAAGCCCGTGAGCCGCCTTTCTCTTGTCGCCGCGGTCCTCCCCGCAGCCTGGGGCGGGGAGGGTGGCAGGGATGCGGCGTGAGAGCATCCCATGCCCTCGCTGACAGTCCCTCTCTGTCCCCAGAACTGTTTCGAGCTTTATAACCCGAGCCACAAAGGGCAGGTCATCAAAGCCTGTAAGACGGAGGCGGACGGCCGAGTGGTGGAGGGCAACCATGTGGTGTACCGCATCTCGGCGCCCAGCCCCGAGGAGAAGGAGGAGTGGATGAAGTCCATCCGGTGAGGGGCGCGGTCCGCCGGGTGGGCCCCTGTTCTGTTCCAGGCGATCGATAATCGGTTATTGAAAATAGCCATGTGATTCTAAGGATCGCTAGATGCCCTTGGCAGTAGCCATTAGAAAACTTTGAAAAGAGGCAGAGTTACTACTTAAAAGATCTGGAAGTTACTCCATGCGCCTGGGGCTGGGCAAACCGGCGGGGCGGTGGGGGCAGCGTGCGCACGCCTGGGCGCTGTTTGTTGTTTTTGGAGACAGAGGAAGGGAGAGGAACACAGCTTTGTTGTTCCTCCTCCTACTGCTGCGTTCACTGGTTGACTCTTGTGTGTGCCCCGACTGGGGATCAAGCCTGTGACCTGGCCATGTCGGGTGGCACTGCAACTGACGGAGCTCCCCAGCCAGGGTACGGGCGTTGCTTTTATTGAGGTGGGGGTGGGAGCCTAGGGTTTGGAGGGCTCCCTCTTTATTGATGAATTTAAAGCGCAGGAAGAGAAAGCAAGTAGCCTACATAGCCATCCAACAAGATCCCCCAAGATCTCCAAAACCAGGGGCGCGGTGTGGGTGGCCGGGCTCCGTGTTGGGTCGCGCGCTGGCCTGTGTTCGCCGTGGCGGCCGTCCTCGGCAACCCGAGCGGCAGCCGGGCACTCGCGGTGTGGAATGGAAAAGCGCAGAGGTCAGGGCTAACACGTGTGAAGTTGGAGAGCCTGCACACGCGTATGCGCATGTGCTGTGCGCACGGCTTGTTGCGCAGGAGCCGGCCCGGCCGCTCTCCGAGGCCACCGCATCCTCAGCGGGGGGCCTGCGGGCTGTGCAGGGAGCCTCCTAACCGCGTCGCTTCCCTTTCTCCCCAGAGCGAGCATCAGCAGGGACCCTTTCTATGACATGCTGGCTACGCGGAAACGGAGGATTGCCAATAAAAAGTAGCTTTCCTGGCCTGAGCAGGTAAAAAACCAAACACCAAACCCGCAGCAGAAAGTGACCGGGAGGCCTCCCCGCGACACCCCGGACCCCCGACAGCCTTTCCCAGGAGGCGCCCCAGGACGTGGGGCCTCCTGCAGCCAGAGCTTGCGCCGTGGCCTCGAGGCCCCCGGTTCTCCAGAGCCTCTGTGCGCCGCGCCGCTGCCCGCCTGCGAGCGCGGCTCTGCCGCCGGGAGCCGAGCCGCCCGCCGCTCTGTCCCCAGACCCTCGCTCGCGCTGCCGCCGCTTGTCGCGCAGTCCCTGCTCTGGGAGCCGCTGTCTCGTATCAGAACAGGAAGGAACAGCTACCATTTTTATTCAGATTTTTTTCTCAGATGTATAGGATTATAGCTTTTATATGCCTTTTTCTATTTTGAAATTATAATGAGAAATACTTTCTAACAGTAGTATTTTTAGAACGGCAGCTATAAATTTAACTCCTGACACAAGTATTTACTGTGCACTGACAAAGAATCACGCAGACGCCAGAGGTGCAGCGGCCGGGGGCAGGCGCTGGTGCGGGGCCCCCCTGTGGGGGTGAGGCGCCCGGCGGGGCGCGCTCCCCGCGCCGCTGCTCCGTGGGGGCCCTCGTCCCTCCTGGGACAGGCGGGTGACCTGTTTCCTTGAGGTGTCCGCTTCCCCTGGGGCCTCCTCAGCACAGGCTGGGTGGCCCCACAGATACTTCATAGAGACCGATCATTAAAATTTAGTTTGGGGTGCCTGTTCCGTAACCGCTGAACCCCCGCCGAGATGTCTGTCTGTCGAACCGTAGGAAACTGCCAACACCCAACTGCTTCCCCTACAAGCAGCACTTTCACACGGTTCAACGGAACACGTGGTCCGGGCCAGCTCATGACCACTGTCCTCACTATTCAAAACCCTTGGGCAAAATGGATGCTTCTGTCACTGATCTGATTGACCAGATTTCTTAATATAACGAGTAGGTATGTAACTAGAAATAATCTTATTCCATTTTTTCAGAGTTGCTCCCCTTTAATGTGGAGGGAAAGCGTGTGGCCCTTGGGGTCTCCTGTAAACACTAGTCTAAGCCCCCAGCTTGCACGGGGTCGGGGGGAGCTGGGGGACGCCCCCAGCCAGGCGGTCAGGCTGCCGTCAGCAGCACGTTTGCGGGGCCCCCGCACATCCCCAGCTGGACTGAGGCTGCAAGTGGACGGGGCCGGGGCCCGCGTGCAGGGCCAGGATGTCTCTGGGCCTCAGGACAGGGCTCGTGACGGCACCTTTTTTTGCTGGGGGCTTTATTTCTGCCACCAGGACCGCCCCCGCCTGCCTGGGTTGTCCTGGCAGTGGGCCCCTCGCCCCGCAGAAGTGCCCCCTACTCCTGCCCTGGCCGCGGGCACGCCCTGAATTCACACCCCTGTGCAAAGTCCAAGAAAGAAAACCTCAGGCTGACCTGTGCACTTAGGCGAAGATTCCAGTGGCAGAAGTCGCTGTCCTGTGAGTCGCCTTGCGGAGGCTGGCGGCTGCGGGCTCTTGGCTTCGGTGCGGCTGCCCTGGACGTAGCTTTCAGTCCCACTAGCCCGCGAAGGGTCGGAGTCCGCGACTCTCCAACATGCTTGTCAAACTGGCTTTCATGGCTTATTCCCAGGCGCTTAGGCTTTGTTACTGTACTGATACCTCAAATTCAGAACTTCGGTGTTTGAGAAAGACCAGTCATCCTTGAAATGCCTGACTGGTACGTGTGCCACTTGGGCCTCCCGTCTTCTGCGAAAACAGAGACGCCGCCTGGACCACGCCCCCCCCACGGAACGCCACTGAGGACAGCGCGACCCCCAGGCCGGCCCCGCCCCCAGGGTGGCCCTCGGCGCTGACAGATCAGTATTTCCCGCGTGGACATTCTCTCTGTCCTTTGTGGGACCCAGGTAGGATCCTGGGGCTACAAGGCTCTTCTGTCTTTTGGGTTTGGCCTCAGAGTGGGGCTGGGAGCAGCGAACCTAAGGAAACGCTCGACACGAAGTGTTTCCCTGGTCGCCTGTGAAGGACACTCACTCGATGGCCGCAGCCCAGGAACGGTGCAGAGCACCGTGGTGCTTAGAAGCTACGTCTCTTGCCACCAGAGTGTTCCGTGAGATCCTCTAAGGCCAGGTTTCGCTGTGACAGTATTAATCTCGCAGCCATGTAGCCGTCACCCCCACTACACCCTCCGGCGGGCCTGGTGCCGGAGCCCCAGCAGGGTCCCGCTCGTCCGCGCCCCAGCCCCACGCCTGTGCTCGGTGCTGAATTATCCTGGTTCTGGCCAAAGACGTGCTCCCCGCGAGAGAGGGAGAGCGAGCGAGTGTGTGCGCACGCGGCAGTGAGGGGTGCTGGCTGTGGTCAGCAGCGGGGCGGCGCTGGATGGCCCTGGACCCAGACAAGCAGTGTCCTCAGGATCACGGAGCATTTCTGAGCAGTGTGACGTGGTACCAAGCTAAGTCCAAATGCAAGCTATTTGTAGACGCAGCAGCATTTAATGCTTCATATGAAGCAATGCATATTTTTAAAGTTAAGATGCATATATCTACATAGATGTGCTTTGCTGAAAAGTTAGGTCTGTTGTAGACCAGAAGCCACAAGTGATTCTCGTTTTCTTATTTTTTTCTTAGAAGACATTTCTATTTACAGTAAATAGTTAATATGTAAATAATGTACATATATATTGATTTCTGGAGTGTTTATTCAGTGTATATACTCCCACAACTTGCATGAAAAAATATCCTATATCGGTATTTTGTTGTAAACAGTAAAATCAGAGGGTGTGTGGCTATCAAATTGAAAATACTATGTTCACTAAATAAAAACCAAACGCCTTGTTCAACAAAACAAGCCTGTCCACGACCTGGTTCTTCCGCCGGGGACGCCGGGCCCAGCGACCCCTCGCCGCCCGCCTGTGGCTCGGGCTTGGTGGCGGGAGGGGAGCAAAGGCGACAGGAAGACGTCATGAGACGGGTCTGTAAGCAAATGGGGCGAACAGCAGTAAATAAGACGCAAAATGTTTAATTTGCTGCCATTTATATACTATATAAATTTTACATGCTGTATATTTACAGTGGGGCAAGTGCTTTTTAATCTTTAAAAAAACAAAGATCAAACTTTAGACATCTCTGAACAACACAAACTGTATAAACCATACAGATTATTCAGATACAAACTGTATTAAATACAGTTTTCCCCACCCCATCTCCTGATGCAGGACCAGTGAATTATAAGTGTATCACAGTTTGATAGCATATCCATATTAAAAATAAAATCACAGTATGATTTTGTCTGTAACTAGAAACTTTTAAGGGACCAAGCTGACAACTCAGACTCCAATATCATAGTCAAGACAAGAGACACTGTATAAAAAAGTGTTATGTAATAAAAAACGTACTGTAGGCTTTACAAATAATGTTTGGGTTATACATTCATAATGTAAATACTCATCATAACTGGTAAATTGATTGGAATAGTTCCACAAAGTTCAAAAACAGAACTTGTCTATAAAATACACCTTCAAATCTTGAATACAACTAAAATATGAAGCAAATTAGTTTCTAGTATCAGACATTACAGAAAACAGACTGCTCTCAAAAGTCTAGTTGAGAGCTGGTGAAGCTTTAAATAAGTCTTTAAATTAAATACACATGCTGTCAGTTGCTTGTACGTGTAACAGCGCTGGCTTCCCGGCTGGTCTCGCACCGGCTGTCTGACTTGGAGGAGCATCACGTGGGATACAGTGATCGACCTGAGTCTGGGATTAAGCAGCATTTGAGATGTTCTAGTCCAGGGCGTTATTTTCAATGTGATTTATATACACGGTATTTTACAATGCTCAGCAGTTGTAGAAAGTGTTCGTCCATTTGGAATAAGGGTAATTAAGAAAAGGTAAAAACTAAAAAAAAAGTTGTCCATGGTAAAATCTGTACAGTATTTACTAAAGAAGCACCACGCAGATTTGAACAAGGTTATTTTCTCTATTTATAATTTAAGCTGGGTTGGGGATGGCTTCTGTTGAACATGTTGAATCTGAAAAACAAGAGGCAGGACGTTGGAGCCCAGGGCCCGGCGAGGCCCAGGTGGGGCCTCTCCTGCCCCTCACAGCAGCCCCTCACTCAGGGGCCCCTCGCCAGCAGGCTCCCCAGGCCACGGGGAAGCGCGCCGTCCTTAAAGCCCACCTCCTCTGCCTTCCTGAAGGGCGAGCCAGGAGCTGGGCGGTCCAGGGCGGCTGCGCAGGCGGCAGGGCCCAGCCAGCAGCCCGCTCAGCAAAGAGACAGCGGCGCCCTCTGCCGGGCGTGGGCCGCGCGCTCCCGACCTGACTGTGGCTGACCCCTCGCAATCCTTAGCGTCCCTCTAAAGGGAAGAATGTAATTTCTTAATTGGGCTGAGGTCTTTCCCTTGAGGACACATTGATAAAGCATGTTAACTGAAAATTAATCTTCTGAAGACACTTTACTTTGAAATTCATTTTTTAATCCCTCTTGCTGCCAAAAAATTACACATTTGGGCAAAATGGCTCCCTGTCCACTTCCCCTCAGCAACAGGGCAGGGCAGGGCACAAAATGTGACTTCTGCCTTCCGGAGCCACTGAAGAAAGTTCCAGCAAGTCAACTGCGTGGCACAGTGAAGGTTCTGATCTGCTAGAAAACACCCAAACCTCATTCAAACAAAGCAAAGTCCTTTTTGGCTAAGATGGGGGCGGGGCCTGATGCCTCTGGTTTGTGGGCATGCGCCCCTGTTCCTGGGGCACAGGGACCGGAGGGTGTGAAGGAAGGGGGACTTGGGGCGCACGCTCAGGCCGTGCGGTAGGTCTGGGTCCTCCATCCCATCAAATGTTTGCCAAATGACTCATTCTGACATGCTGAACACCCTTGTTCTCTGAGTGAGCAGGGGCACGGGATGGAGCGACAGCCTGTGTTTGGGGACAGCGGCGCCCCCTGGCAGCACTCAAAGGAGCGAGCGTAAGCCCGGTGCCAGCCTGGGGGTCAGGAGGGCCGGCCGCCCTCGCCAGGGGCTCCTGTACCCGCGCCCCGCGCCCCACCTCCCAGAACTGCCTCGGGCCCCCCAGGCCGCTACAAACAGCTACGGCGCAGACAGACGTGGAAACAGCTTACCGGGACTAGTGACTTCTTGGTTTTGAGGCCGAGCTTTCAGTCACCTAGGACGGAAGCAAAGGTTAAGAAACAACTTAATGGCTTCACACACGCTCGGGGCCTCGGCTGTGGGAGCGGTGGGCGAGGACACGCGCAGCCGGTTCTGGGCAGCCTGGCACGTCCTCCCGAAGGCTGTCCCGCACGGGACGGGCACACTGTGCCGTCAGGAGCCGTGACTCCCGAGCCGCTGAGAACAAGAGGCCGGCAGGCCGCGGTGGAAGCCAGGCCCCGGCAGAGACCGCCTCTGCCGAGCGGGCTGAGCAGCTTCTAACAGGAGGACGGCAGAACTCGCGCCTTTAATGGAGCCCGAGAACAGGAGTCTAAACAGGTTGAGTGGTCAAGGCACCAGGCAGACAACGGGGTCCATCCTCAGCCAGGTGACACAGATGCCTGTCATGGAAGGCTGAGTGACTCTTCTTGAGGGACACAGGACCACGGGCCACCGGGAGGCTAAGCCTGGCCACAGCCCCTGGAGACACAGAGCAGAGCTACCTCGGGCCGGCCAGCGCGGTTCACACCCCACCTATTCCGCCCCCGCACCTGGAGCCCCCTGAGGGCGGGGCAGGCTCCCCTCGCCGGGCCCAGGGCGCTGCGGTCCTCCTGAGGGAGACCCAGAGCCCCGGGCGGGGGGGCCGGCGGCAACCGCGAGGCCCTGGGACCGTGCACGGGGGCCTCTCACTGCCTCGCCCACACGAGGCTGAGGAGAGAAGGGGTTCGATCTTCACTGAGCCGCTTCCCCGATCACTGACCTTTTCAGATTGGTTTGTGGAAAACCAATCTGAAAACACACGTTAATCTCTTAAAAGTGGCAAATACCACTTCAGCTCCACGCTTTGGCTGCCATGTGCCGCCAGAGTTCCCGCCGCACTTCGCATGCACTTCCCCCCACCGCGGGACCGCTCCGTGCCTCAGTGTCCGGCGCTGTCCTAGCCAACAGCGGGGCCCATGCGTCCCTCTGTCAACAACCACGGGCTGACCACACCCACGTACAACAGCTCAGCTGAGGCCAGGGCACAGTTGGGAACCAAGAGGCCTCTGGACACTCCAGGGGACGGCCAGAGTCACAGAGGCGCACCTCGGTGTCCAGGCAGCGGCCAGCAAGCTTTTTGCAGAAAAGACCGGAACAGCCGGGCTGCGCTCCACTGCAGCTCTGGACAGTGGAACTTCAACTTTAAATAACTTCCATGGAAAGCAAAACCTTCGGACTTTTCCAACCATTTGAAACGTTGAAACCATTCCTGACTGGCCACGCACACGAAGGCAGGCCCGCGGCTCCGCTCTGCCCCGGCCCCGACCCACTGCCCCTTGTCACAGCTGCTCGCACGTTCAGTGCTGCTCTCCAGGGTCAAAGGTCACCGGAGCAGGTGGCAACAGGGCGGGGCAGCTTCAAGCACAGGGAGAAAGTAGAGAGGACCACACAGTTAATGACCAGGGGACAGAGTAGCACAAGGCAGACGAGAACCAGGACTCCCAGAGCCAGTCAGCTCACAGGAGCCAGAGCCCCACGGGCCGCGCCCCTGAAAGGCTTCACTCCGCTGGTGGCTGGCAGCTGCTGTCCCTGAGCACCCAAGCCACCGAACGGCCCCCTCCAGGTGACGTGATACGATGCTGGAGGTTTAAGGATTCAGGGAAGAAATATTTTTTAAATGGTTTAAAAATTCTGGTCCTTCACAAAGCAAACAGTCAAGGCACCTGGAGCCCTAAATCCCAGAGGTTCTGTCAGGCCAGGCCCACGTACCTCGGGTTCCCGCGCGCGGAGGGCTCAGCGCTCAACCCCCGCACAGGCCATGGGGCGCACGCTCCGTGGGGCGTCGGGGCGGAGGCGGCAGGGTGGGCGGCCCCCGCTGAACCGCGCCCCCGCGCACCACGCAGGCTTTCTCCCCGTGCATTAATCACCTGTTCCCAAAAGACCCGCGTCTATATTTTTAATTCCAAGTATCCCCTCTTACCCTGGCCACACTGCGACAGATGGCACCTGTCGCCCCTGCTTTCCATCCGGAACTGTCTCGTTTTCTCACGGAAGGGCCCCACACCTTCCAGAGGCAGGCTGTCGACGAGGGGGGGCCCCTCAGTCCTCCGGCAACGGCCGCCGGTCTCCGAGCTGGCGGCCCTGGCTAAGTGCGGCCCTGCGTCTTTCCCAAAGTCCTCAGGTTTCCTCGAGTGTCTCTTCTTTTTCTTCTTCTTTTTTCTGTGTCTGTGGAGGTCCGTGTCGGAGCACGCGCCGGAGAGGTCCGAGCCCTGCCGGTGCCTGCGGGAGAAGCGGCCAGAGCTCAAACCGCCGGGAAGACAACCCCTCAAAGAGAGCCTGGTCCTCGGCCTTCACACCCACACTGTGGACACTCCTTATTGCAAAAACACAAGTACAATTCTTGTCTAATTCAAAACACACTGTAACAATGTTTTTAAGCCCAGGGCCATAAATTCAGCCACTTCAACCCCAGCCCACCACCGCCTCCGGCTCGGCGCGGAAGCTGCGGCGGCCACGGCGCCGGGGCGAGGGCTGCGCGGCCTTTCCTGGCACCAGCGCCTGCGGGAGACAAAGCTGCGCGGGAGTGGCCAGCGAGCCCCGCGCCCTCCGCAGCGCTGCTTCTACCGAGGCGCGTGGCGCGCTCGCCGAGGCTTCAATGGCAAGCGGGGTCACATGTGTGAGACGTGCACAGGGCCGTGTGTGCTCATCCGTCTCATCGAGGATCATTTTCAAGACAGTCGCTTACCAGTTTAGCTTTTTAGAAATACAAACAGATTTTATGGAGAGACTTCTGGTCCAGACGGCAACACAGGTAAGCACAGCACCCACCTCCTCGCACAACCACATCAAAATTACAACTAAACTATTGAACCACCATCCTTCAGAACCACCAGAAATCAAGCTGAAGGGCAGTCCTACAACCACGGAATTAAAAAAGAAACCTCGCTGAGACTGGCAAGAGGGGTGGAAACACGGAACGGGCTGGTCCCACACTCACCTGTGGCCGACAAAAGTAGGGAGGGATCTCTCAGGAGTGAGGGGTCCCAGCCCAGGGCTCCAGTGCCAGCTCCATGGCCCCAACGAAAGGACAGAACAAAACCCCAGAAAAAGAATTAAGCAAAATGGAGACAAGAAATCTCCTAGATGCAGAGTTCAAAACACCGCCTAAAAGGATTCTCAATGAACTTAGTGAGAAGCTCGACAGCATAAAAAAGATCCAGTCAGAAACAAAGGATACTCTACTCTAATTGAAATAAAGACAAGTTTACAGGGAATCAATAGCAGAGCGGAGGAAGCTGAGAATCAAATCAATGATTTGGAACGTAAGGAAGCAAGAAACCACCAATCAGAACAATGAGGAGGAAGGAAATCCAAAAATACGAGGACAGCGTAAGGAGCCTCTGGGACAACTCCAAGAGGCCCACCGTTCACATCACGGAGGTGCCAGAAGTGAGAGACAGAGAAATTGGAAACTTACTTGAAAAAGTGACGGAAAAGTTCCCTAACCTGGTGAAGGAAATGGCGATACAAGACCAGAAAGCACAGAGAAGCCCAAACAAAATGGATGCCAAGAGGCCCACTCCACGACTCATCATAATTAAAATGCCAAAAGTTAAAAAACAGAGAGAGACTCTCGAGAGCAGCGAGAGAAGAGCTGCTCCCTGCACAGGAGCTCCTGTGAGACTGTCGGTGGATTCTCCAAAGAAACCTCAGGCAAGAAGGGACCGGCAAGAAGTATGCAAAGAGATGAAAAGCAAGGAACTACGACCCAGATTACCCTACCCAGCAGAGCTGTCATTTAGAATCAAAGAGCAGATGAAGTGCTTCCCAGACAACAAAAAGCTAACGGGTTCATCGTCACCAAACCAGTAGTGTTACATGAAATGTTAAAGGGTCTGCTTTATTCAAAAGATCAGAAATATGAACAATGAGATGGCAATAAATACATATTAACGATTGAATCTGAAAAACAAAACAAACAAGCAGAACAGAAACAGACTCATAGATACAGAGAATGTTTTGACAGTTGCCAGATGGGAGAGGGGTTGGGGGATGGGCGAAAAGGTGAAGGGGTTAAGAAGTACAAACTGTTAGTGACAGAATAGCCATGGGGCTGTAAAGTACAGGCAGGGAACAGAGTAGCCGAAGGGCACAGATGCACGGCCCATGGAGGCGGCCAACGGTGCAGGCGGCCTGAGGGAGTGGCGGGGGGACTGGAACTGTGATAGTGTAAAAAATAAACAAAAATACAAAAACACATTTCCCAGTTAGATTCCAAAATGAGAAATGGAGACAGAAAAGCAGACAAAGAAGAAGGCACCAAGGGATGCGCCCCAGGCCCCCACTTAGGGACGGGCCTCCTGCTTTCTGCACCCCGCCCCGCCGCAGGCAGTCACCAAGCCTGAAGAAAAGGCGAACCTACGGCGCTAGCAGTCCGCCTGACCGCTGTGAACGTTAGCACCGATTGCGAAGTCAACGACCCCAGTTTCCATTTACAGAGTACTGCACACTTACTCCTAGAGGTACAAAGCATTAATCAAAATGGCAATTTTTGGAAAATGATGTTTTTAGGCGCTTTATGATACTGTTGAAATACAGCTTAAAAGTAGAGCTAAATTTTAGCATCTGAAAGACAGTGAAATCTCTAAACCCACAGAGAGATGGGAGATGCTATCAAAAACCATCAGCACAGCCCAGCAACACAGCCCTCACTTGTCCCTAGGCTGGGCCGGGCGAGGACAGGAGGCTGTGTGGCTGGTGACCGCCCCCACCGCGCACACGCGTGGCCCGCACCCTCACCTGGGATCTCGCTCCCGGTGTTTGTCTTTGGATTTCTTTTTCTTCTTTGATTTTTTGTGCTTCTTCACTTTCGGTTCTTCTAAAAGGTCCCTTTGTAAGCTTCTCCAGGCTTTTTTTTCTGCATACGTGTCATTATGTTCTATACTATCGTACCTCCGTTTTCGTGACTTTGCATTTTTGTGTTCATGAAACTGATCGGCGAGGGGACAGCCGCTGCCTTCAGGCCCCAGTGGGATCTTCTCGTGGGAGCGCCGCTCGGGGCAGGGGGGCAGCGCGTGGGGCGGGCCCGCCCGGGGGCCGCTGAAGTGGTGCCGCTCCCTCTCTTTGGCTCCCAGCTCGTAGCCCTTTCTGCCCCCATAGTAGTCCTTGTGCGGCTGGCCGCCGTGCTGACCCACGCGGTCACAGTCGCGGTCGCCGTGCACAGGCCTCCACTCCCACGCCTCCCTTGCCGTGTAGGGGGCGTACCTGTCATGGTAGTACCTGCATCTGTCCCACCGCCTCTTGTCTGGGTAGTGCTTCTCCCGGCCCCAGGCGTGCTCGCCCTCCGCGTGGCGGTACCTGCTCCAGTCCTGGTCGGACCGGCCTCTGCTGCGGGGGCGGTGGTGGCGGTGCCTGGCGGGGCCGCGGTGCTGGCAGGGGTGGTGCGGGCCCCCACCGCAGCGCTCCGGCCTGAAGCGGCCCTGCAGGGCCCGCTCCCGTGCACAGGGGTGCCGCCTCCGGTGGTAGTGGTCCTCCGTCTTGCTCCTGCTGTCCCGCGGGCGCTCCCCGCTGGAGGAGCGGTCTCTCCGGTTGCGGTAATGTCCTCGGTCAACTTTTCGGAGGCTGCTGATTTTTTCCTTAAGTGGAGAACGATCCTGGACTCTCTGCCCAGCCTTGCTTTCCTCACGCTGGTCCCCGGGACTTTGCTCGGGAACCCCTCCCCCTTCTAAATGGTTTTCTGTGACCTTATCCAGTTGAGGAGGGGGCCGCTCGTCAGCCGGCGCCCCTGTGCTGCTGGATGTGGCTGCCGCTTCTGCGCCCGTGTCCCGGCCGCTGTAAACTGAGGGCTCCCGCTCACCGTCGCCCTCAGCAGGTACCGAGGGGCTCAGGCTCGGCCTCCCCGTGGCTTCCACTGCTGCCAAGTCCCGGGGACTCTCTGGTAATGTCCCTGTTACATCATGGGATGCTTTGCTCTGATCACCTGTTAGGTTCTCGGAGTCACACAGTTTGGAAAGGTGATCGTCCCCAGTGGCGTTCTTGCTGGCATTACAAAGATGGTCGATACTGGGCACGGACTCCTCAGGTCTTGCTGAAATGTTTTCGGAGACGTCCTCTTTGGTAGATTTGACGCTGGGGTCTAAGAGCGGCAGAGCCTTCTTTAACTTGACGCCGGGGCTTGGGGCCGCCTCCAGTGTCTCCCGGGAGTCAGGAGAGGGACTGCTGGGTGCCGGTCCTGCCTCAGGGCGCTCCGTCGGGCTTCCCCCTGTTCCAGTTGCGCTGCAGCCCAGCCAAGACAAAGAAAAAAACTAGTCAGTCATTCGCCACATTGCTTTATGGGTTTCTGTCATTGACTCACAGGGACAGACACTTCAAAACATTCATCCATTGGCAATGCTAAGTGTTTTATGCCTTCTATATACCTGATTGAAATCCAGTAGTGAGCTTACCATTTTTGGAAACGGAATTTTCTCTTTCCTTCATTAAATAAAAATACGAAATTGTATACCAAGCCTATCTCCCATCCCATTTTTCCACAACAATAATTCTGTGGTTCTGGGCTGCTTCTGCTTTCAGACGGGCTTCTGATTCTTCCTAATAACGAAGCCTGAACAATCAAACAGGTCAAATGGCAAGCAGAGGCCCTGACGTTTCCGCTGCATCCCTTTCTCCCTGCAGACAGGCGGGCAGCCAGCCCTCCGGGTCTGTGAGGCAGCCCTGCCGCTGCAGAGAAGCCCCCTGTGGCGCGTGAACCCTGCCCTCCCCTGCTGGGAGCCTTCTGATGTGTTCGAGGTTAATGAAAGCTGCCAGGAAACAATAAAAACCCTAGAGCGGCCCCCACTTTTTAGTAGGAAACTCCCTGGCAGAGAGGACACATATGAAGTCAATATGCACAAATCACCTAGAGCACAGCAGTGAGATCCTCCAGTCGGCACGGGATGGAACGCGCACTGAATGCACGCGCGGTTTTGTTTCTAGAACTACCTGTACTGATCATCATGCACATGACATGTGATGACAGACTCGGCCAGACTAGGGAAGAGGCAGAAAGGAGGACAGCACGCAGGCGGCCCAGTGTTCACACTTCTGTGCCCAGACTGTAAGCCGGAGCGGGCGCCCCCCGCGCCCAGCGAGATGCCACCTGAGTGCGCGGGCCTCCCAGTGGCGCTGTGGTGAGGGTCGTTCTGAGAAGCGGGCTGCGTTTCTGGGCTGTCACAATGGTGGGGGAGCCCCGCTGGCACTGACGGGCAGGGGACGGGCCGGTAGGCCCGCATCACAAGCGTGTGCCCTGGGCCCCACACCCCAGTGTTCACAGGGGTGGGAACCCCAGTGGCAAAGCTGGCAGTTTTCATGGAAATGAGATTTTCCAGGAACACAACTACTGTGTCAATCTAGAGATGGCCTCAGACATCACGAAATGCTGTCCACTACGGTGGACATCCTCGGATGCCCTCGGAGGCACCATCCAGACATCCTCGACAGTGCCTCCGTGTGTGCTGCCGGGCTCCCGGCCACAGGCCACACACGCCTGCACGCACACACACGCCCGCGGCGCCCCCCGCCCGGCTGCCGCCCGGCCGCACAGGGCCTTGTCATGCGCTCTCGCCCGGTGGTTCACGTGTGGAGGCACATGTGCATTATAAATTCCTTTCCTTTTAGTCCCATTACATTTAGGTCAAAATACTGATTTTTCTTTAAGAGTGAAGTGGAGGCAGACTGTCTTATCAATAAATTTAACTTCAGAATTCCAGAAGGGGCAAAACAAAGTATTGCTATTTCACAGCTGAGAAGCACCGCCCTATGAACGTAACACGTCTTCACACATCTGTTACCGGCAGACCTGTGAGCCCCGCCAGCGGGCGCCGGCTGGGCCAACGGCATCCCGCCCCGAGGCACGGCTGCGCAGAACACAGCAGCACGAGGACATCACGTTTTCCTGGACTATCAGCCCAATACATTTGTCTTTACTTCTCCGAAAGGCAAATGAACAAACCCTACACCTCATGCCAGTCACCCCAGGATTCTAAAGGTCCATGAGAGCCTTGTCCAGAGTGGGCTAGGGATGCATGCACAGGCCCTGCTGAGATTCCCCGAAGCCGAAGCCGTTACCTTGCTTCCTCTGTTGAGCCTTTTCCTTTGTTGCTGAGTTTGAAGGTCTCTAAGATTTTGTCTTCCGGGAGAGGTGGCAAAGGAGCAGGCATCAACTACAATAAAAAGACAAAGATGCTTCAACTCCAGCTGCCACTCCACACCTCCCGAAACCCAGCTCCGCGGCCCGCCCTGAACGAGAGCGAAGCAAAGCCTTCCCCAGCCCCGCCCGACGCCCACTCACCTTTCCAGGTAGGCCGTTTGCCTTGGAAAAGGGATTTTCTGAGTGCAGAGCAGGCTGGGCTTGGCAACTGGCACCCTCAAAGGACAGACCGTTTTCTTTCGGGTCGCTGTCTGTACTGTTGTTAGCACCATTTAGGGTAACGGGTTCTCGAAGCTCGTGCGGGGAGGCCTCGTCCTCCTCAGCGTCCTGAGCGGGGGTGTTCGCGCTCTCCACAGGGCCCAGGCCGTTCTCCCTGCCCAGGCCCTTGGCCTCCTCGTCAGACTCTTCCGACGACTCGGCGCCGTAGGGGACCAGCACGCTGGAGTTCAGCTTCGACTTGCCATTCACCACGGGCTTGGAGCAGGGCTCACTCGGGGCCGTCGGCAGTGGGCCCTGGCGGGGCACTGACGCGGCAGGTGCACTCGAGGTAGACTGTACTGCAGAAGAATTGGTAATGGTAGAAGAGGGGGCGGGCTTGGCAGGGCTCTCCAAGGAATTGCTGTGGAGGCTGGGCTGCGGCTGACCTTGGCGAACGGGGAACTTGTTGTGAATACTGATCGTGATTTTTTGTTTCTTGGGATGTTCCGGAATGACTGAGGCCCTGTTAACTGCCCAGCTTTGAACAGAGGTCGAAGCGTTAACAGGGCCCGCCCTGCTGACATTGGAGTTTCCGTTAGGACTTGACAGGGAACTGCTTGGCGCTTCTTTCAGCGGCCCGGTCCCGTTCAGGTGAGGTGGGCTCTGGAAGTAAGAAGACCACAGCCCACCGGTGAGCACTCCAGGAAAAGGACACAGACACAGAATCCGTCTGGCTGCAGAGCCTTTCCATTCGGTCTTTTTCTTCTTATAAATAGCAAGTTTCCCACACCCAGAAACACCTCCTCCCCTCACCCGCACGGGCCTACCTCAACCCTTCCACAGGCCACTGTTTTCTGGTGGCTCATCAATAGACAGACCACCATCTTTTCCAGAGAACAGCACCCAGACCAAGTTCTTTCTGCTCCAGCCAGAAATGAACAGGCTGCTCTAAGCACGGAGTCACGGGAGTCCTCTTTGGTTGGTTTTCTGGGGAGCCCAGGGCTGTGCAGGCCAAAGGCAGCACCAGGCAGCAGGGAGCCCCCCAGAACGCGGCGAGGGGGCTGGTCACGTGGGCAGGCCCAGAGGAGCTGCGTCCGCACCGTGGGCCAGGTCCTCCCCTCCCCCCACGACATCTCTGAGTCCTGCTCATGCAGTTATTTTGCTCAAGATTCCAGCTGCGGTTTCTACAGCCCGGAGGCTGCAAACTGGATGTCCTGGGTGAAAACTGGTCCACAGATGAGTTCTGTTTGGCTTTCACAATGTTTTCTTAAATATCTGAATTAGTTCCTATCTTAACATGGGAAGGTTTCATGGAGGTGGGTGGGGAGAGGGCCGCTTGAAAAACCAGTAACAGCCACCCCTCAACACAGGGCACGTGCTCTCCCGATGGCTAGAGTCCCAATGCCACCATTACAAAGAGCAGGTTGGCGCCTGCCCAGCACCCAGGAGGAGCCCTGGGTCTGGGGGTCCCGCTGTAATACAAATGTGCCCAGCACTCATGCCAAACAGCACCCGACGAGGCAGCCTGTGATCGAAAACACATTCAACTCGCACTGCAAGGCTGTTAGGGCACAACAGCACAGACGACAGGGGTCACCCGAGCACGTGGACAGACGGCGGGCCTCTGCTCTGCGAAGCCGTGGGGCACCTAAGGCCCAGGCACGTCATCCTTTCTCCCCCGAGGCCAGTTGGGGGCGTGGTCAAACCCCGCTGGTCGCAGATGAGAAAACGTCGCTCTCCTGAGAGGGCGAACCTGACGCGATGGGCGTGTCCGCTGGTCAGAGTCGCTCTCCCGGAGCCCAGCGCTGATGCAGGGCCCCCAGGTACTTAATCCATGGCGTGACTGGAGTCCGGTGTGGAAGCTAAACTCTCTAGCATTAAGTATACTTACACCCAGACCTCCTTTTTGCCCATTGTATCTACACTCTGAGATGTGCTGTGCATTTGAAATATTTTATAATCAATGACTTGGATGTACTTTTTTGACAAGAAATTCATTTGTGTATGAGGCCATGGCAACTTAGTACAGTGCTAGCCTGGGGATTCGAAGGACACGCTTTTCAAGACTGCCACGAAGGCCGCCTCCTCCCTAGGGCACGTTACCTTTATCATGTGAGAAGGGAGCTGTGGCCCGATAAACCCTGCCGCGGCCTGCTTGCTGTTGACGACGCGCTGGCCGATCACTGGCCGCGGGGAGGACTGGCCGGGGCTGTGGGCGGAATGAGGAAGTTCGCCTCCGTTTTTCACATCGTGGGACCTGGGGACGGAGAGAGCGCCTTGCTCAGGGTGACACGGACGGCTCCCTGGGGGAGACCCGCTCCCGGCCGCCCAGGTGCCAGGTGGTGGCTGCCGCGGGCAGCGCCGCGCACGGGCTCGCCTGCCAGTTGGGGCGACGTCCGGGCTCCCGCTGGGAGAGCAGCAGGGACACTGGGCCCGTGGCATTGCGCACAGTATGTTCCGCGGGTGCCACTACTGGAAAGCTATTTTGCTTTTCAGTTTAATTGCGTTTTTCTAATTATAACTACACACATACTGTTACAGAAAACCTGTAATATCCAGAAAAGTTAGAAACAAACCCATCGTGCGTCACCAGCCCCCTCAGAGGGATCTGCTACTCAGCGTTAGGAGATCACCCTCAGCACTCCAGCCTTACTGGTTTTTTCAACAGTGTGTGAAATTTCACACTGCTTTTCCTCCATATATACTGAGCACTTTCTTATGTCATTAGAAAAAAAAACCCAACTTTATAGAGATCATTGTTAACAGCTGTATAACATTTCAACATATGGATATGCTACAATTGATACACTCATTCCGCTACTGTTGGAAGTTTTAGAATGTTCGTCAGTCTCAGCTAGTACAGGTAGGTCCCTTGAAGCGCACTTCAGAGCTTTGCCGAGGCTGCGCATCTCCAGCAATGGAATTAGCGAGGAGCGGGCTGCAGCCGCAGCGGGAGGGAAACGAGCAGGGCGCGCGCCGGCCGGGTGGGCGCAGGAGGCGGCCGGCTGCCTGTGCCCAGGGCCCGGGGGGCCCCACGCGGGCGCTCTGCGTCTCCTCCCCGCAGCCCCGGCCTGTGGCCGGCAGCAGCGCCTGCCCTCCCTCACTGCGGCCTTTCCCTGCCTCCGGCTGTGTTTCGTGGTTGACCTGCCAAAGAGCTGGAGGCAAAAGCCAACTCGGGGCCCATACTCAAAAGCCACATCCCCCACTCTCCCAAGCATCAAGCTGCTGTTCTAAAAGTAACCCAATATTAAATTTAAATGTGTTAGGATGAACAGAAATGACATAACAGAAAACTTAAAAATTTGTTTTCCTGACAATACCTGATATAAAAGAGAACATACGCTTGTTGACTGAGTACCGATCTGATATCACTGGTAGATACGATGGAGTCATTCATCTGATACCAGAGGCCGTTGCTAGCCTGAAAGAGAGCCAGCAACGGACATATTCAATATAATTAAGGAGCCAGGGAACGCCATCTAGAAGAATGTAAGAGAAGTGAAATTTCCTATTTTAACTGTGAAAGTCCCACCCTCCCCAAGAATGCCCGTGCCCCCTACAGCGCACGGTAAGGAAAGACATCGGCACGGCCCACGCGGCGCACCTTTATGTAGCAGAAGTAATGGCCAGCATGGCAGTTAAAGCCCGTGTGTACCAGGACCGCATACAAAACATAAATAATCGGCTCTCCGTTTGGTTGAGACATGTATGGTCGAATATCAAGATACTCAGGGTATTTCACATCCTAAACAGAGACGGGAGGAAGAAAAAGGGGCGTCATTCCTGAAGGCGCAGCTCACCCCCCGTGCTCGGTGTGGGGTCCCCGGGGCGGTGTGGGGCAGGGCGTCTGCAGGGCTCTTTGCCCTGTGATCTTCTGGCAGAAGCCTAACTTGCTGAACCACATGATTACCTCGGTACGTATCTGAATATAAGTGTATTTATTTTAAAGAATTATTAATTGATTTGGGAGTGGGGAGGTGACAGAGAGAGAAAGAGAGGGAGGGAGGGAGGGAGGGAGGGACACTGAGCCACGGCTCCACCCATCCATGCACTCATTGGCTGATTCTTATATGTGCTCTGTCTGGGGATCAAACCCCTGACCTTGGTTAACCTGTCACACTCTAGGGCTACACTCTAACCAACTGAGCTACCCAGTCAGGGCCAGCTGAAATTTTTTTTTTTAATCCTCATCTGAGGATATATTTTTATTGATTTTTTAGAGAGAGGGGAAGGGAAAGAGAAACATCCATCAGCCGCCTCCTGCACATGCCCTGATCGGGAACCCACAACCAAGCTCCAGCAGCAGAACCCCCCCGCCAGGGCTGAATCCAAGTGCGGTCAATGCAATCCCACTGCGTTCTTTGTTCTCTCAGAACAAACAGCGACCCACGTGAAGGGAACCCCTCGAACCCATCGAAGGTGACAGCCGAGGACGACGACTCTGGCTTCAGCCACCACTTACTTCTGTTTTCAGTAACTCAGGAGTAGACTGCTGCTTTCTCTTGCATGTTCCTGACTATTTAACCACTTTTAATCTTCAGAAAGTGGAAAGGAAACGGGGAAACTCAGTATACTAGCTACCAATCAGAAAACAACCAACCAAGAACACAGCCTTGGATGAAAGAGTGGCAAGATGTACCAAGGAGGCCTCCTTGGACTCCAAACGACACACATTCTCGCCGTACGCCCTCTTGCCTCACTGACCGTGACATCCAAAACTGGAACACAGATGCCAATTCTATCATAAGAAAGTCTAACCAGCCAAAGGACATAGAAGGAAATACACAGTTATAAACACACAGAACATGCTACTAGCTCAACGCTGTGACATTTTTTCCCCACTATCAAGTGCCGGAAGTACTTAGAAAACCAGGTAACAAAACTGTTCGCCTAGGTTATTTATAACCCTTAATAACTACTGACACTTAGCCTTGAAAGGCTCAATGTAAAAGGTTTTAATATCTACATACCTTAGCAATTTTTCCACCAGTAAAATTTGCAAAGCGTTTCAGAGAAAGTGTAAGAACATTGGAGGATCGGTGTATGGTGAATCTCTTTGAAGCTGGAACCATCTTTTTACATCTTGAAATGAACAGAAACAAAGAATTATGATTAAGTTTTGGGGTTTTTTTGTATTTTAGTCTTTCCCTTATTATTTCTCTGAAACATTCTAAATTAAGTTTCCAGAAGGACACTAGATGAGAAACACAGCCCTTTTCAACCAACAATGAAAACGCTATGTTCTCACACACGAGGCAGAGCCACGCAGGCCACTGACACTTTTAAGTCAGGTTAATGCAAGGTTCTGTTGCTTCGAAACAAACTGGAAAACAAATGGATTTTCAGGCTGGTATAATTCTGTGGAAACAAAGCCCTATCTAGACACAAAAGGAAGAAAAGCAACAGTCAGCAGGGTCCCCGGGGTGTACCAGAGAGAAAGCAGGCTCCGTGCCTGGGACAGGAGGAGGCTGTCTTCCCCAAATGAGTGTGTGGTCAGAACAGGTACCCGGACCCTGGCTGGACCAGGAAAGGCTGCCTACAACCCAGGAGCCGGGGTGAAAACAGGCTCTCTTGGCATGGGGGGGCAGAGGGGATGGGTGCAGGGGGACACAGAAAAATGACTAATCAAAATCGGAGGTTTCTAGCACATTGTGCTCCCACTGCTAGGAAAGAACTACAGAGAGGAAGAGCCAGAGCTGCTCTGGGAGATGGCGGCCACCCTCCGGCGCACCCTCTGCCCTCCCTGCCCCGCTCCAGCAGCGAGGCCCCGGCTCGCCATCTGCAGAGCCAACATGCAGGCTGCGGCCTGGGCCCGGGGCGAGAGAGGGTCTCCTGAGGGCCGCGCGCGCAGCCAAAGGGGACGTTCACCCCCAGGCAGAGCCTGCCGTACTTGCTGCACTTGTACGAGTTCTCCCCGTCCAGCTGCTCCGGCTTCACAAACTGCTCCAGCGCCTTGTTCACACTCTGGGCAGCCTGGGGAGAGAGCACAAGGCGCCTCACCTCGCACCGCCGCTGGTCCGCAGGGAGGCGGCCAGCGGGGAGTTTTTATGTGAAAAGAAAGTGTTCTTTTATTGTGACATTCATGTTTACACATGGACACAGCACGCTGTTTCCCTCCCATTAGAAAATGCGCAGCTTAAAGGGAACAAAATACATAAAGAGGTTGCTCGCTGAAATGTTATTTAAAACAGCATGAACATGGAAACAAACCGAACATCTACTAGCAAGGAACTGGGCATGGAAACCGTGGTCCCCGCACTGACTGGGTCACCACACCACCGCCACAGCACACGCAGGGGTCCCCAAGCAGAGTAAGACGAACGCGGCAAGTGGCCGAAGACACTCCGGGTGCAGCCCCATTTTCATGAACAGTAAACAACATACTCCGGAACAGTTCACACGACCTCAGCGTAACAGGAGCGTGTGCTCTGCGGGACGGGACCGCGCGCACACCCCCACCCCCTGCACAGCGCTCATCATTTTCACCATAAACATGTATCACATTTGGAATCAGAAAAATAAAGCTTAAGAACAACAAAAAATGAGTGTAGAAAATGCAAAAAGCAAAACAATTTGTAAATAATAATCACCATCTGCTTTGGCTACCATAGGCATTAGAATCTGGCTTTATCAAGATTAAGTGAAATGTCAAAGGGTAGTAAAAAGATCGTTTTAAGTTTTTTATGATGCCTACTACAAAGCTTAAATAATCACCTGTAAATAAGGTCTCAGCACATTACATTTTTTTAATTCCTATTGTCTAACAAGCTAGTCGTAATTATAAATGAACTACAAACACATGAAATTATTGGAAAGTATATCTGATTTTTTAAACTTAACTGTCATATGATCCAACTTACCTTTATCTCCAATGTTATATCAAGATATGGATCAAAAGTATCTGAAACGCCTTTGCAATTTAAACATTTGACTGAAATAAAAACAAAATGCAAAGGATAAGCAAAATGTAATTATTATGGCAATAGCAACTATTAAAGTGACAGAACAAAAATACTATTTCACAATAAAAAATGAAAACAAGGTACATTTTTCTATCAGATTGGGCAAAAAAAATTTTTACCACTGCAAGTGTGAACCCAAGAGTCATGAATTTGGCCCATGTACACTGCCGGTTGGAATGTGAACTGATACAACCTCTCGGAAGGACAATATGGTGGAGTCACATTGTAGACACACACCCTTAACACCGAAATTCTAACGCTGACAGCCCACCCTACGCACACACCTTTACACGGACACAAAGGCAGGAGCACAAGGGTGTTCCATGGGGCCTTGATGATAATTTTAAAAATTAGAAATAACCTAAGTATCATTTGATAAAGGCCTAAAATAAACGGAATACTACATAACTGTGAAAGACTGTGCTAGACCGATGTGTGCTGAAATGCTAGGGTGGAAATGAAAGAGCGCGCGCTTCTCTTCCCCCAGGCTGTCCACGCACAGGAAGCTGCGGGAAGGATGCTAGACACTGGGGCAGGGGCCGGCCTGGAGAACGGGGACAGAGCTCTGGGCTGGATGGAGGACATACTGTCCATTCTTAACCCCTTCTACTGTTTGCACTTTTTTATAACCCCATGCACGTATCACTTTATCGATTTTTTAAATAAAAGTTTACCTCTAGATCGTAGGTATCCTCCAAATATCTGACAAACGAGCGTGGTAGCCTGGGTGTGTCTGTCTAATCTGAAAAACAGGAGACCGCGGCGTGAGAGAAGAGTTCTACAGAAAGCACCGAGGCTGCAGCCAGGCCGTGAAAGCACGCACATCCACACAAGAACAAGAACTCAGGCAGGAGAGCCACAAGAGAAGGGGACGTCAGTACGGGTGGCGCCCAGGGCACAGCCCTGCCTGACCAGGGCACAGAGGGCAGAGAGGCAGGACAAGAAGCAGGACAGGACGGAGGAGGGGCTCTAAGTCGAGGCAGGAACTTGACCCTGAAGCGAGAGGAGGAGGACACCCTGGGCACGACCGTGACGCCGCGTGTCAGGCCTGGCTGGCGAGGGCAGGGAACACGGCACGTCCGTTCCGCGTCCATCCTCGCCCCTGCGCTGGGGGCCCGGCTGAGGGCAGCATGGGCGGCGGTGGAAGTAAGCGGAGATTCGCCCAGTGTGCCTGGCAACAGCGGGCGGGTTAAGACTTGTTGGCTAATTGTTTCTACTATTTTCCTCTTGAGTCCGCATTTATTTAATTTTTTTATTTACTGATGTGCATGAGAGAAACATCAATTTGTTGTTTCACTTATTTACGTATTCATTGGTTGCTTCCTGTATGCGTCCTGACCAGGGAACGAACCTGCAGCCTCAATGCATCAGGATGATATTCTAACCACCTGAGCTACTCAGCCAGGGCTTGAGTCTGCATTTAGACTTTATGGAAGAAACTGAAGGAATCTGTAACTGAGCAGAGTGAGAAAGGCCCAGGGACCAAGTGCAGGTTTCAGAGACCGGAGGTCAACATAGAGAACGCAGGGCAGAGCTAGAAAGAAGGGGCTGGTCTGGGCCCGCACACAGGTGCCGGCACTCAGGAGCTATGGAACGGCAAGGCCAACGGTCGCCTCCGACCCCTGTGACCACCAGTCCAAACTGGGACAGTGAGCACATCGTTCTACGTTACAGCTGTGTCAAGATAATAATGCACGTGACTCGAGGAAAAGGCAGTACAGTCGGAAGGTGAAGCAAACACGGCGCTGCACCTTCGCCCTAAGAGGCAGCCCTGGATTTCAGTGCGACGGGCACGCAGGGAGACCCGCCCGGGCGCACGGTACTTACTTATTGCTGCCGTTCAAGCAGGCTTTTTGCATAGCATCAACAGTGTATTGAAGGAATTCATGGGCATCTTCTTGGTTTCCAAAACGGAAGTGCCTGGCTATACCTATAAAGTTTAAGACAAAGCTTTACCATCACATAACAGGCTCAGGCTGTGACCCCCAGAAGCTCTACCCGTAGCAGTGCGCTAGTTAGAGGACGCCTGGAGCCGTCTTACAAGGGGCCAGCACCAACACGAGCTTCCGGGGAAGCGCTGGGACCTTGCCCTTTAGACCAACGAGAGCCCATGGGGGCTAGAGCTTCTGAGAGCTCAGGGGGGAGGCCCAGAGAGGCTGCCCGTGGCTTCGGCAAGTTAATAAAATTGTACTTGAAGAAATTCAGCTTTGACTATGTTGTCTCAAAAATGTCCATTATGTTACATTAGTGCACACATCTGAAATCTGGTGCTAATCCCCCATGGAGAATCCATGCAAAACATCAATGTCCAAACCTATCTAAATCCTATCCTTGCTGCCTACACAGTATATTCTCAGTAACATTTCAGTCCTAGTTCTAATTGAACAAACAGTTGCCAGACAAAATTACATGAGAAAATCAAAAGTATAAATAAAAAATAAAACATCATATATAGGATGTTATGCATATGAATATATACAAATATATATTAGCTTAAGTGTAGAACTGCCAATATTCTAGCAGTTCTGACCTACAAAAATGGCAATTTCACGTGCGAGGGGGTGTATATGTACTTCCATGGATGTATATGCACACAAACACACAGCAAGGACATTTTCTTAAAGACTAGGTTTAAAAATATTAATCATGCCTGCAGAGTGTGTGAGTGTGTGAGTGTGTGTGTGTGTGTGTGTGTGTAATTAAACAGGAAAAATAATCACCCTCAGCTAAAATTTTGTCAGGATGCACTGATGTTACAAACGTGTGGGTTGTCCGCTCTGGCCTGGCAATGATGCCAAGGGCCAACGTAGCACCTCTTTCATCTTCAGCAGCTTTTTAGGCAAAAGGGTTATAGTTTGTAAATGTGTAATTATCCACCCCTGTAATTACTGAGCTAGATATCAGATTAAGAGGTAGGTTTTTTAAAAATAATTTGCACGCATTTTTCATTCCAACTCAGCTAGTTAGGATGATGTAAAGTTTACTGCAAAAACACACACACAAAGTGCACAGGAAAATTTCGTGCATCCTGTCAGTATCATTACAATGCAAGAGAAAAATTTTAAAGTCACCTGAAAATTAAATAGAAAAGGTAAAATTTATCCACAAATTTGCTAAGCTATGAGTATAAATTTTTATTTAAAAGCTTAATTAACTTTATTTTGGCAGTTACTGTCACTGTGTATAGTGTAATATTCATTAACTGAATTAAAACTAATTCAAAACAATGTAAAGAAGCCAGTGGGACAACATTAAGAGTTATTATTACTCAGCATAGAGATCCAAATACCTGGGGAGGAATCATATATCTATCAATGATTTTATTAACAAATTGAGTTTTAAAAAAATTTTAAATTTGCTTATATTAAGCCGAATACTGTCTTTTTATATTATCATCTTTTCCTTTGAGATTTCAAAATCTGTTTATGTAGTAAATGTTACTAAAAATTTGTTATTAATTAAAGGCATCTCCATGTATGATAAAATGTTTGTTTTTATAATATACAAGGGGCTTATTATCTTTTACCAGTTAGGCCACTGAGACCAATCAGCTAATAAATATTAATATAAACAACTACAGCTGATACTTACGCCGCATCTCATTAATGACAAACATCGGTTTAATAACATCCCCGGGATTGCTGAGTGCCTGGGTAATATGTGCTTGCATTGTACACATCATACAAAACCCTTCTGCATGACCTGAAAGACAATAGAGCATAACCCTCCAAGTTAGCACAATATGACTCTATTTACACATCAAGGGATGTTATAAATAAGGGGCACACTCCTGACGTGAAGCAACGGTCACAGCTGCCACCTGTTACGCACTGAGCCATACACTTCTGTTCATTTTTCATTTTCATTTAATTCTTCCAAAACCTAACTGATAAGTATACGAGTATGCTGGCTCTGTTTCACAAACGAGAAGACTGAAGCTCAGAGTAAAAAATTTGCTCAATGTCAAAAACTTGTTAAGTGGCAGACACGTAATAATCAAATCATCCTCTAATTTCAAAGCTGGTGTTCTTCACTACTCTCTCTACTGGAAAAATCAGGATTATTCCCCTCACTCTCCCACGTGTCTCTAACAGTGAATGGCCATCCTCCACCCTGGGGACTGGACACTTCTCTGTAAACACTGGGCTTTGCTGGCCACATACGTGGGCTCTGTTGCCAGTGCTGCTGCTTTTTTTTTAAACAATTTTTTTAAATTTTATTTTTTAGAGGGAGGAGAAGGGAGGGAGAGATAGGAAGAGAAACATAGATCTGTTGCCTCTCGCACACCCCCAACTGGGGATCTGGCCTGCAACCCAGGCAAGTGCCTTGACCAGGAATCAACCCGGCGACCTTTCAGTTCACAGGCCAGAGCTCAACCCACTGAGCCACACCAGCCAGGGCTTTAAAACTTTTCAAAGTATGAAAACCATTTTTAGCTCGTGACTAAGTGCGATACTGGCAGCCAGTGGGTAGAGGTCCCAGCAGCTGCTGAACATCCAACAAAGCACAGGATGGCCCCACAGCAAGGAATCCCCTGACCCCCCAATAGTGCTGATGCTGAGCAACGCCTTCTCACACTAACGGCTGCTCAGAGCCTGCCTGACCAACTTTGAAAGTCTCAAAAGGTCCCAAACTATCCCCATGAAGGTGGGATGATGACCACACTCCCATCCTATCGTGTCAGGGAAGATCAAGTGAGAAGCCTAGACTTCCACCCCCACCCAGGAGTAGAGACATCCCTCCAAAGCCCCTGGGGTAGTGTCAGAATCAGGACTTCTACCGTCACCCAGTGACAGAAAGTCATGGCACTGTCAGTGGGGACCATGGCCCCTGCCCGCAGGAACACGGAGCCCCAGCCACTAGCTCCTGTTGTCCCTGGAGGTTGCCTGGGAACCTGGATCCAGGCTACCCTCCACCTAGTATCAGGGGTATCGGGGAAAGAGCTAAAGCACATCCAGTGGGACCCAGTGTTTCATAACATAACACAAACATGTCCAGGTTCCAACTGAAAATCACTCATCATACTAAGAATTCTCAAACTGAGTTTAAAAGACAATGAACAGATGCCCATACTAAGATGACAAGGATGTCAAAACTGTCAAACAAAGGTTTTGGAGCGGCCAACATGACAATGCCTCCACAGGTAATTATGAGCACATTAGAAACAAATGAAAAATACGGAAAGGCTCAACAAAGAGAGAGAAGATATAAAGAATCAAATAGAAATTTTAGAAATGAAAAATAAAATAATCAAAATAAGAAGCTCAGTGGATGAGCTAAACAGTAAAACAGAGATGACAGAGGAAAGAAGCAGCAAACATGAAGACAGAACAATGGGAATTGCCTAATCTGAACAACAGAGAGAAAACAGAATGGGAGAAAAATGAACAGAGCCCCAGGGACCTGAGAAACTCTAACAAAAAAAAGACCTAACACACATGCCATCAGAGCCCCAGAAGGGGAGGAAAGGGCTGAGCTGAAAAAGGATCACAAGAAATGAAGGCTGCAAATTTCCCAAATTTGCTTTTTTTAAAAAATTTGTTATGTACTTGTAGAGAGAGGGGAAGGGAGGGAGAAAGACAGGGAGAGAAGCACTGATGAGAGACATCCATCCGTTGCCTCTCACGTGCTCCCAGCTGGGGACCTGGCCCGCAACCCGCACGTGTGCCCTGGCTGGGGTTCAGACTGAAACCTTCCGGCTCACAGGGTGGCACTCAATGCACTGAGCCACCCCAGCCAGGGTGAAAATTTCCCGAATTTGGCAGAAGGTACACTTCTCTAGATTCCAGAACCTGAGCAAGCACCAAACAGGAAATACTAAATAAATCTATGCCAAGACACATCTTCATTAAACTTCTGAAAACTGAAGACATAGAAAAACACCCCCTTCCCCGCAGAGGAAAGCAGTGTGAATGGCAGCGGCTTTCGCGTCGAGCACCACGGAGGCCAGGGAAGCGGCACAACTTTCAAGTGTTGGAAGAAAAGGGCTGTCAACCCGGAATCCTATGCCCAGTGACAGCGTCCTCTAGGGATAAAGGTGAAGTCAATCCATCCTCAGGTGAAGCAAAGCTAAGAGAATTTGTCACCAACAGACTTACCTAACAGACTAAAGCAAGTCCTCTATACAAAAAGAAAATAATTTTTAGAAGACAGAACATTAAGAAGGAAGAAAACATGGTAATCAGAAATATAAGCAAATACAATAGCCTTCCTTTCCGTCTCTATTTTTATTAGCCTTTATTTTATGCTGAATGTGCTCCCAAGCCTCAAGTTTCTGTGTCTCCTGGGGCAGCTGTGCCCTCCACGCCGCCGCCTCTCCTGGCTCGCGAGCCGCCTGCGGCCGCCCGGCGGGACCGGCTCAGCGGGGCGCCCTCAGCTCTGTGCCGCGGCTGGGGCTTCGCTTTCCTGGACGTGCTCAATGACCAGAGACTCTGCATCTAAACCCTCACGTTGAACATTACTCTGCATTTTTAGGCAGGCGCAGCAAAAATCCAGCAATCTGGGGGGCCCAAACCCCTGCTTCCAGCCCCACTGTTCGGCCTGAGCACCCCTACCGACTCCACGGCGACGACGGAAGGGCACACGTTGCTTCTGTCCAGCGGCGCCTTCAGGTGCTCGGCACCTTTTCAGACGCGCACACCCGTGACGGCCTGGGCCGTTTCCCGAGCGTTCTTAAAGGGGACACAAGGACTTGAACCTCTGGATTTGCAGGGTTTTGTGGGGTTTTCTGGGTCAGGTGAATAGCAAACCATTTTCAGAGGCCACCTCAGACCGCTTACAGGAAGAGGAAGCAGGCTTGCTTTCTCTTGAGTTTTCTAAATCACCATATTTTGCCATGTGTAATATGCGCTGTTTGCCCAAATTTTTGAGGGAAAAATAAGGATGCACATTATACATGGGTATAATGATTACATATCATGGGTATCATAACGCGTATAATAAACCTGAGCACAATGCACACAAAACCAAGGGTGTGCATTATACATGGAAAAATACAGTATGTGCCAACATAAATTACAACACTGTGTGGTTCTAAACATATGTCGCTATATGTAGAAAAATGACTGAATTACCTGATAACTAGGAAAAAGTAGAGAGAGATAGAAGGTAAGGTTTCTTCACTTCCCTTGAATCAGTAAAATGACAACACCCGCAAAGTCTGGTAAGTTATATATATACAAGGAGGGGCAAAAGTAGGTTTACAGTGTGAGCATGCAGAACAGTGTGAGCATGCAATACAGTCTTGTATTATTATTTATTAATTATTGTAGTACTAACAGGGCTGTGTATGTAACACAGTTACAACAGGGCTGGAACTACAAACCTACTTTTGCCTCGCCCTGTATAATGCAAACCTAAAGCAACCACAAAAAAGATTACATAAAGAGACACACTCAGAAAACGTTATAAATAAATAAAATTAGAATTCTTAAAATCATTCAAGTAACCCACGGGAAGGCAGAGATAAGAAAACAAATGAAAAACAGAAAGCAAAATATAAAATGGCAGACTTCAGTCCTAGTATTTCAATTATCATCTTAACTGTAAATGTTCCAAATATGCCAAAAAGACCCAGGTTAAGAAAGAAGATTTACAGAGACAAGAGGGAAGGAGGGAGGGGGGCAGGGGAAAAGGAAGGGAAGGGGGAAAGTCAAGGAACATATAGCAAGGACTCATGGACAAAACCAAAGGGGTAGAGTTGAGGGAGGGTGGGAGGGAGGGAGGGGGCAAGGGAAAGTGGTGGGGGGAAGGCAGACACAAATGTAGTTGAAAAAATTAATTAATTAATTAAAAGGAAAGAAGATTTAAAAACATGACTCAACTATATACTGTCTATAATAAACTCACTTCAAATGTAATGATGCAAGCAGGCTGAAAGAAAAGGAATGGAAAAAGATAAGTTGTGAAAACAATAATCCAAAGAAAGCAAGAATGGCTATATTAAAGCAGATAAAGTAGACTTCAGAGCAAAGAAAGCTATGTGAGAAAGGAACATTATATAAAGGACCAATCCATCAAAAAGACATAGCAATACTAAATGTGTCCATTCTCAAGAAAGCTGTGAAAGACATGAATCTAACCCTGACAGAACTGAAAACAGACATAGAGAAATCCACAACTGGAGCCGGAAAACCTAACATCTTTTCTGTCAACAACTGATTGAACAATTAGGCAATCAGCACAGATATTGAACTCAACAATACTTTCAGCCAGTGGGATCTAATCAACATTTGTAGAATACTCCGCTCTATAGCAAAATACACAGTATTTCAAGTGCTCATAGAACATATACCAAGATGGACCATCTCCTGGGCCGCAAAACAAACCTTAACAAATTTAAGAGAACTGAAATCATAAAAAGTGTGTTCGCTGACACAATGGAAAGAATCATGCTAGAAGTCAGCGAGAGACCGATAACAGGAAAATCAGTAAACACCTGGAATAAGGAACACATTTCTAAATAATCCAAGGATCAAAGATAAGTTTCAAGGAAAATTTAAAAATAGACTGAACTGAATGAAAATGAAAAGACAACATGAAAATGTGGAGACACAGTTACAACAGGGCTGGAAAAGGAGATTTATGGCAACTGTCAACATCAGGATCGGGCCCAGGGGAGCAGCCCAGCCCTGCAGACATCAGAGGACGGCAGGGGCGCTATGGACCGAGTAACCTTACACACATGCGTGTCGCAAATTAGA